AAATGTCCAGAATATGTAGGCAAATCCATAGAGATCAAAAGTAGATTAGTGGTTGCCAAGGGCTGGGGGGGTGGTGGTGCAAAGGACGAATGGGGAATGACTGCTAGTATAGGGTGTCCTTGTGAGGTGATCAGAGTATCCTGGACATAGTGGTGATGGTTTCACAACCCTCTGAAAATACTGAAAACCACTGAATTGTATTCTTTTAAAGAGTAAATTTTATGGTTTGTCAATTATATTTCAAAGGAAAAAAGCCTCAAGTAGGGGAATGATGGTTTATTTAACTACCTTCTCAACAAACATCCATCTTCTGCTCCTTTAAGATTTTGCCACTTAGGCTCATGAATAAGCCATTCCTATTTATTAGGTTCCAGGTGCTGGATATACATCAGTGAACCAAATAGATACAAATCTCTGTCTTCTTTTCTTTATCACTGTAATCACATCATCCTCCTGCAGTGTTTTTTTGTGCTTTCCTTATCAAATCACTGTGGCTCAGCTTAAATTTCCTTCTTCCCCAAAGACTTCTGGGCAGGGATTGCCAGAGGGAATGGGTCTTGGTGGGCTTGGCTCAGGGCAGGCCTGAAAGTTAAAAAAAAAAAAACAATCCCCATGAAATTAAGAAAGCAGACAGTACTGGCTCCTCACAAAGCTATTTTAAGTTTGAGTAGTATAATTTTGTGTGAGCTATTAAAAATTTATATGGCATTGGTACAGCCAAACTGTTTTCATACTTGAATATCACTGCCAGTTTAATGAAGGTAAATAATTAAACTGGTGTCGCGGTCACAAGTTCTCTGATTCTCTAAAATAATTTTTCATTTTCTTATTCTGCCACATTCAAATTCAGATCTATGTGTCCAATTATAGATATCTTTTTCTCTTTTGCTTACCAGCCCACTGATTTATTAAATAGGATTGATACACCCTGCTGGTTGATAAGTTTGAGGAATTTAAAGATATGCATATAGAATAGTGAATATATTGTTATATTTAGAAATAGAGCCTGGAATATCAAATAGGATCTAAGGGCTATGTAGTTCCTTTTCAAACGTGTATCCACACGTTCAGGAGTTGATTGACAAAATCAGAGCTTGGTCACCATGAACGGCCGAGTTTATGAGAGTTTCTTAATGACGATGATATGAACTGGGTGATAGAACTTGACTGAAGCAGATGAGGTCATCAAGCAGACACAAAGGTGGGGCAATTTTAAAGTAAAGTAAATTGAAACAATAGGTTTCATTTTCCAAAAGGTTGTATTTAAAGGTTGTATTAAAAAAAACACGATTCCTTCATTTGATCAGTAATACCTGGGATCCAAATCTTTCGCTCCTCTGTGTTATCAGCAGGCTCACTGAGTTGCTGCCCCAGCCACGTCTGCTTACGAAGTGTCTTAAAGGATGCACATGACTTCAGTGTTCCGGTATTTGCAGGAGTGGCCTGGTGGTTTCCAGGGGACTCCTTAACTCGGCAGCCTTGTGGAGCCGCGTCGGCTACTGGAGCACCACCTGGCCGTGGAGCGCTCAGCTCTGTGCCAGTGGGAGGCTGAGAACGTTGGGAGCATACTTCCTAGGATTTTTAAGTTCCTTTGACTACTCAGTAACTCTCACTTATCAGACACTCCTCCACTTTGTTCAATTTAATGAACTGACTGACAGTTTTGTATCCCGAAATGCCTCCGGGGGCTCCCATAGACTGGTGTCATGTGCCCAATGAGCCCTTTGGGGCCCCCCTCCCTACTGTTCGCCTGGTCACCGATGTGTCCCACGCATAGGCGGTGGTCTCCAGTTCACTGGCCAGCACTCTTGAGCTGCTTGAGGCCTTCCTGACTAATCCGAGAGCCTGAAGATGTGGGATTCATTTTGGCTTCTCCTGTTGTTGGAAGAGCATTTTAACAATGCCTCCCTCTCTGTACATGGAGGTAGTGGTTACTGTGAGATAGTGGGTGTTCAAGATGGCTAGTTATTGTGTGGAAGGCACCCCAGAGCTGACTGCCCAGTGCCACTGTGGACAAAGCCCACTAAAAGTGACCTCTTTGCCTTCACTACTGTTACCCTGTTTCCCAAGAGGGAAGGCCTCTTTTCAGTTGGGATTTATTTAATATGAAATACCTCAGGATGTTCCTTCGCAGTGGTGTTTACAAAATGCTGCATAGATCCGGAGAGTTGCTAAATAGTATTTCACTGGTAATGCTTTCTTGAAAACTTGGTATATATTTAGTAATTAGTAACTCAGAAAATTCTTTAATACGACTAACACCCATACAGAATTAGAACCTGCCAAACTATTTATAGTGCTTAGTATAACTACATAATTAGATATTAACACTTTTTTGTGATGATAAACATCAGGGATTGGATGTTACTTCAAGTCTTGTTTGCGGTCCGAAAAATATGGTGCTCCACATTTAAATATACAGGGAACTAAAGCAGTTCCCTTCGGACAATACCCTGTTTTAATGAAAACAGGTAACAATGGCCTTTATACTGAGAGAGCATCAACCTTCAGTTTCCAATGCAAGTTAAATCTAAAAAGAGAACTTGGGAATATTTTCTGGGGAAAAATGAATATTTTTAGGAGTATCTGGAAAATACAGTTTTTCTTAGAAAGGTCAAGTAAATATGACAGTGTTTGCTATGCATTTCTAATAATCACCTGATTTAAGATAGCCTTTTGGTATCGTACAAAGTGCTAAATAACCAGTTTGATGGAATTTGCAGTTACCTGTGACTGTTTTTAGAATCATGTGAAGAGTCTGAAGTTTAGTTATAGAGTCATGACCTGGATTCTGAAAGTGCTGAGATGTGTGATACCATTTGTCTTTATAAGTTCCAGAGTTGAATATGCAAATAGAATTTGACATATTATATACAAGTCAAAATTTATATACAAGATGGTTGTATGAGGACTGAAAAGCAACCTTTATAAAATATTATCAGGGTTATAATACCAAATTTAGACAACCAACATGGAAAATTTGTATTATGCTCTGAGGCTATTGTAGTACAGTAGAATAAGCAGTGATCAGAATGACTATAAATCATCAATAAAAAGTCAAAGTATGTCCAGTATATTCTACGTAAGAAAATAAATAGGAAGTTTCTGGTTAAACAATGTGACTTCAATGCTTATATTTATTCCCTTCTTAACTCAAATAGCAGTTAAGAAGTAAAAAGGGCAAGCCAAGAGAAGAAACGCCAGCAGATGAGAGGTGTCCATAAAATTGTAGGAGAGAGAAAATGGATGAGGAGTAATTGTCCGAGGTTTGAGCTTTTCCTGCTCTCCCAAGTTCTTCTGGACAAACCCAGAAGCCAGCCAGCTCATGTCACTTTACCCAGAAAGGCTCAGGGATTGAAGGCACATGAAAACAGAAAGGTTGGTTAAAAGTCTGCCTGGAGTCTATTTAAATCCCTGATCTACTCCATACCTCATATAGCCAGGTAGCCATATATTCTGTACTCTGGTAGAAGAAGTCAGTTTTTAGAGAAATATGGAAAGGAGGGAATTATCAGAGAAACAGTAAAAGTCTCCCAGAACTGAAGTGCATGCATTTTCTCGATTAAAAGGTATAACAGAGTGCCCAGCACAATGAATAAGCAAAGACCCACACCAATGCATGTCGTGAGATTTTATGAAAATGGGAATAACTAAAATTTCTTAATGTCTTCATGAAAAGGGAAAATAGGTATGATAGAAAATATCTATCATTAAAATTACATCCAACTCACAACAGGAACATAGAAGTTGTGAGACTATGCAAAATGCCAAGAGAAAAATAATCTCTATTCTAGAATTCTCTACCCACCCAAATGATCACTCAAGTTTAAAGATAGAAAAAGAAATTTTCAATTGTGCAAGTTTTCTCACCAACTTTATCTTCCATGAACACTTTTTCAAGAAAGTAGCAGAGGATGTGTGCCTCCAGAAAAGGGGAGGGTGAGATAATGGATGGAGAAGACATGGGGTATAGAAATCAATATAGCAGGGGTGAGGGAAGGGAGCTCGCAGGGTGATGCTGCAGAGAAGTCCTGGTTGGCAGGTTTGCATCAGGCCTAGAAGGAGGTCAAAGGGAAACCATAAGGGTGTCTCCAGGAACACAATGGTTGTGATAAATTACCGATATGTTTGATGATAGGAGGAGAGTTGTAGATAATATTTTAGATAGTGGGGCTATTAAATACATGGGAAAGCCAGCAAACAAGAAAACAAAGCGAATATTCTTGAAAAAATTTAAAATGGAGCAAAAAAGAATATGTAATCACAACTATGTACAATTTTTTGCATAGTTGTAATAGAAACACTAAATACCAATTTAACCCAAAACTGGTGATGTGGATTGGAATGTACTAGTATTGAAGGCAAGAGGGTTGTTAAGATTCTATATTAGGAAGATAATTCTAAAGTGAAATCAGGACAGAGGAGTAAAAATATTCCATTCAGAAATACATAGGTAAACAGCAGAAGAAGCAGTTAAAAATGATTGCTGTGGAGGTGGGGCGAGAGGGAGGAAGGAAATAGCTATATTAAAAAAATAGACCTTGTAGTTACTATTTGATTTTGACAACTAATTTATATATTATTTCCAATTTTTAAAACTAATTTTTAATAGTAGGAAAGGAATTAATAAGGTTTGATGTAATTTTCCATAAGAAATGATTACAAATAACAACATTGGGGTCTGTCCTCAGTTAGGTAGAAGACCTTATTCCAAAACAGTTTCTGTTAAGTATCTACTCCCTTCCATGCTTAAGAAAGCTATATAAGTTGTACCAGTGGTATTGGTGTCTTATTCCCACCAAGCCTTTTCTCCTTCATTAAATTTTATAGGCACATGCTTGTCATAGGGAAGTTGAAAAATTGCCTAGCGCTTTGAGATTTCATATTAACCAGGAAGAGGTTTTAGGACCTTCCTCACAGTTGTTTTTGCTTTATAGACGCGTCCCAAGGAGTGAATCATGATGCAGAAAACATAATTTCTCAAACCTTCTGCGTTATAGGGTGGAGAGCACTGTTATTACCATGGGAGCATCCGAGGCGTCAAGGACTCCCGGGCAGCTCTGTCGACCTGCAATGGACTTCAGTGCGTGAGACTCTCACTGGGACAATGACCTTGCTTCCATTCATTCATCCTTTCCATCTTTTCTTTCATAGATAAGTCTTGTAGTGCCTCTTCTGTGCCAGTCCTATGCCAGGGACTGGATATGGAGTGATGAACAAGGAGGGTGTAGTCCCTATTTTCTTTTTTTTTTAATCTTTAATTTCTTTATTGATTAAGGTATTACTCTATTTTCTTAACACTTAGAGTTTGCAGGAGATTCTGAGGTTAAACAAATGATTATACAGATTAATATTTAATTTGCCTTCTTGGTAGGTACTGTGAAGGGGAAGGACAGGGACTTATAGGGTGACCTAACCTAGATCCAGGAATGTTTCCCAGAGGTGGATGCTGGAGGACATATCAGCTGGATCAGACCTAAGGATAACTAGGCGCTAGCCAGGTGAGGGGGGTGTGAAAGAGAGGAGCTCCTGCATCAGCTTTGAGGCAGGCTTTAAAAAACACCTGTAGCTGCCTTTAGACCGGAACCCACGCGCGCCATGTAAAGATCTATTTGTGCTCATGTGAAGAAAAAGGATCTCAAAAATCTGATCTCTGCACACAACAAAAATTTCTGTATCTCCAAAAATTAAATGTGATTTTCAGCACAGAGGCATTCTGCTTAATGGAAATTCACAACGTGCAAGCATAAAGATCCTTCATTTGTCTCTTTCGAATCAGATAGCTTTAGATTATTGTTACACATGAAGAACTTGACTATTTTCTTATCGATGATATTGGATTTGCATAACAAGAAATTTGGACTAGTTGTGCATTATCCTGGAGAAACAACTCGCGATACTGGAACTGCATGAACAGTCCAATCCCAGATTAACCTTCTAATCTGTCCATTTAATTAAAAAAATTAATCATATCATGTATAATTTGTCTGCTCTTGGTGTATACTTTTTACACCCTGTGTAGCCTAGATGCTGTCTAGTGTAGTGTGGGGACCACCATGGGGTTCTGTGCAAATATATAGTTTAGATTTGAGGCAGTATAAAGGTATTTATTTAGATATACTCTTTCTTTTTTTTTTCTTTTTTATCTTTAATTTCTTTATTGGTTAAGGTATTATAAGTGTGTCCTCATCCCTCCCATTATACTCTTTCTTTTTAAAGATGCAATATGCAGCTCCCCTGCTATTTCTTGCTGTTTGCTGTAATTGTTAATTTTCTCCTTGTGTGGTTTCTCACGCTGCAGTGGTATGTTTGAAGATAATACCTTTGTGTATATGATTGAACCACTGGAGCTGATTCATGATGAGGTAAGTCTGGCTGTGACATCAGTTTCCTTGTGATGTTTTATTCTTTCAGCATCGTTGCCTTTGAGCAATAAAGAGAACATAATGTAGATTTCACTGTGCATTTAAACATAGTACCTGTTTTAAACTTTGGAGGGGGAGGAAGAGAGAGAGAGAGAGAGAGAGAGAGAGAGAGAGAGAGAGAGAGAGAGAGAGAGAGAGAGAAACATTGCTGTGACACATGCCCTGACTGGGATTGAACCCACAACCTGGGTATATGCCTTGACTGGTAATCAAACCCACCACCTTTTAGTGTATGGGACGACCTTCCAACCAACTGAGCCACACTGGCCAGGGCTAAACTAGCTTTTATTCTCACTCCTTCTTTAGATAATTGTACAACTATTAAGCGTGTACTTAACTTTTGGGAGTCTGAGAATCTTCAGTGGGGAAATTTGTGGGTTCAACTATGATTATATTATATAATATTTAGGTTTCTTTAGAGGTAGGGGAGAAAATAATGTTTAGAGTCATTCACAGGCCATCAGCTAGACAAAAAAATCACAAGGACATTATGCTAAGTGAAATAAATCAGGCAGACAAAGAGAAGTACGGTATAATGTCATCTGTAGGGACTCTAAAAAAACAACTTATAGAAATAGAAAACAGATTAGTGGTTACCAGAGGCCAATGGGGAAATGGGTGAAGATGGTCAAAAGGTACATTCTTCCAGTTAGAAGATTAATAAGTTCTGGGAGTGTAATATACACCATGGTGACTATAGTTAACAACACTGTATTGTATATTTGACAGTTGCTAAGACAGTTGATCTTAGTTCTCATCACAAGAAAACATTTTGTATCATGTGAGGCGATGGCTGTTCACTAAACTTATTGTGAAGATCATTTTGCATTATATACATATATCAAATCATTATGCTCTACCCCTTAAACTTATACCATATTGTATGTCAATTATATCTCAGTACACTCTAATAGTGTTGCTCACTAATAGCATGTAGCCAAATTTAAAATTTGGTATATGTTCATCAAATACTGTAATGAGAGTTACTACATGCTGGGTACTATTTTAGGTGCTGGGGATAAAATGGTGAACAAAATAGATATAGATCCTGGGCCTAATAGATCTTATAGTCTACAGGGACAGACAGGAATAAACAGACTGGATAGTTAATTATGGTATATTAGACAGTGATACATGCTAAGGGTTAAAAATGAAGCCAAATGGAGTTTGACCTTCTCTTTAACTATCCAGGGAAGGGCACAATGGGACAGTAGTTTTGAATGAAGACCTTCTAGACATTAGGGAGCTGGAAGAACATCTCAGGAGAAGAGCCCATGCAAAGGCCCTGAGGCAGGACGGTTCCCAGTGTGTTGTAGGGAGTTAAAGGAACCCAGGTTGGAGAGGAGTTGAAAAGTGGGGGGAAGGAATGGTGGCCGATGGAGGCACTGAGAGGTGACAGTAGGGATGTTATGTCAGTGAAAAGCACTGCTACTGGGAAAATACTGTGAGAGTGATAGGATCAGAATATTGCAATCATTTGATGGGGAGCAGAAAATGATTTTTATCTTTAGAGATTTCAAATGTAGAAAAATAAATTTTGAAACAGGTAGCCTGGCTGGTGTGGCTCAGTGCTTGAGCACGGACCTATGAACTAGAGGAGGTCACAGCTCGATTCCCAGTCAGGGCACATTCCTGGGTTGTGGGCTGGATCCCCAGTAGGGGGCGTGCAGGAGACAGCTGATCAACGATTCTCTCTCATCATTGATGTTTCTCTCTCTCTCTCCCTCTCCCTTCCTCTCTGAAACCATAAAAATGTATTTTAAAAAAGAAACAGGTAACAGTCATATATGTAGGCTATTGACAATAACAGTTGAACACATTTAATTTCTTTGTTGTGGCAATGTATGAATATCGGGTAAGTTTCAAATTTGAGACAGAAAAGTCACTAAATTTTAAATGGTAAATGTGTGAATACTATATAATTTTTCAACTGGTAACTATAAAAATTAACAGATAATGAGACAACGCCACCCAGATAAAGATATTTTGATTAAGTAAAATGTTTGTCCCGTACTACAGTGGTAGGTAGAAAGCCTGTATACTGTATAGCCAAATTATTTGACGAGTTCAGCAAAAAATTAACTTTGATTTCTGGCATTAATTAATAGCCCTGTTACCCGCCCCCCCCCCCCAAAAAAAAAAAACCCACAAAAAAACCAAAACAAAATAAAGTAAAACCTACGGAACAAAACCAAACCAAAAAATAAGAACTCCCTGCCCTGGTCAGTGTGGCTCAGTTGGCTGGAGTGTCGTTGCATGCACTGAAAGATGGTGGGGATGGGGGTGAGGGGAATGCCCAGCTCCCATCAGGGCACATACCCAAGTTGTGGATTCGATCCCCTGTTGGGCCACTTGCAGAAGGCAATGCATTGATATTTCTCTCTCACATCAATGTTTTTCTCTCTCTCCTTCCTCTCTCTAAAATCTTTTACAACAGCAACTCCCTAAGCCTTAGAGTTTTGTTTTTTTAAAGCCTTGAGATTATTTTTCAAGACATTCCTAATAGGGCGATTTTGTAGATTTGATGATTCACAAATGTATGTGACAGTATTAAGCCACAGGTGGGGCCCTTTCACTCTGTTAAATTGTTGCCTGTCATACAGTATTTAAGTGTACCTAACACACTTTGGATTTGGGCAGCTTCTTCTGACACACAAAAATGTGTTATATACTAAATTATTGAAGAGATTTATAAATATAAGCTGCTATGATCCTAATGTTCATAGCCAGTGGTTCTCAACCTTGGCTGCATATTAGAATCACCTGGGAATCTTTTTAAAATCCTGATTTCTGGGCCTCATCCCCCGGAACTTCTGTTTCTTTGTTATGGGGTGGGGCCACAACATTAGTAACAAAGAAACAATTTCCGGAGGATGAGGCCCAGAAATCAGGATTTTAAAAAGATTGCCAGGTGATTCTAATGTGCAGCCAAGGTTGAGAACCACTGTTCATAGCGTTGACTTTGCATTGCTATGCCCATCACCCTCTTCTTCCAGGATTGCTTGTTACATGCTTAGTGCTATATCCTTTTTGCCTCCTTTCTTACTGCCTACCTTTTCTTCCCACTTTTAGTTTTACTTTTTTCGATTACAGTTGACATTCAATATTATATTAGTTTCAGGTGCATAATGGTGAGACTTACATAATGAATGAAGTGGTCCCCCTGATACATTTAGTACCCACCTGGCACCATCCATCGCTATTACGATATTATTGACTATATTCCATGTGCTGGACTTTACATTCCCATGACTATTCTGTAACTACCAGTTTGTACTTCCTAATCCCTGTCCCTTTTCCACCCGCCCCCAATCCCCCTCCCATCAGGCAACCATCAGTCTGTTCTCTGTATCTGTGAGTCTGTTTTCTGTTTTGTTTGTTCATGTATTTTTGTTTTTTAGTTTCCACATATAAGTGAAATCATATGGTAGTTGTCTTTCTCTGTTGGACTTATTTCACTTCACAATTTGTCCTTATTTTCACCACCAGTGGAGGGAAAGGAACAATACTTGAAACTTTAAATTAGTCAGTTTTAAAATTGTGTTGCTAAACTAGTTGTGAGTGTCATTACTCTAGTCATTTTTTCACCTCTTCTGGAATTAAGAGTTTACTATACTCAAATTTAGATTTTTTTGATATTTTGTTTATTCTTATTATTAATTTTAGTCTACTTTATAACAACTCAAATATTAAGGATAGGATGCTTCTAATGAGAATTTGTTATCTGTTAAGCAGTAAATGGATAGTAAAACTCTTAATTATTGTAATCTTTTATGTAATCTATTAAGAACACTTTTTCAAAAACCAATTTTCTAATTATAAGACTGATACATTATAGGAAATTCAGAAAAGCAAAAATAAACAAAAACTTTACAAAACATTAATTACATATCATCCCATCCCCCAGAAATAACTTCTCTTCACTTTTCAGTGAATTTCTTTCCATTTTCCAAGATATATCCTCACATACTTAAAAATAAATTGGATCATTATTTTGTAATATAATTTTAAATCAGTAATGTATCTCTCTGAGCTTCATATTTTTATTTGTAAAACGGGGATGAAATATGCACCGTATGGAGTTCTTGTGAGAATTAAATTGTGTAATGTGTTCATTAACAGTGCCTGGCACATACAATGCACCCAGTAATGGAAGCTAATAGTAATAATAGTCATGGAAATAAGCCATTTCTAGAAGTGTAATTTCCAGGGGAAAGGATATTAATGTTTTCAAGGCTGTTGATAGAATTGCTAAATTTCTTTTTGAACTATGCTTCCAATTTTCTCCTACCAGCAGTGTATAAGAGTACTTTTCTCCTTGTAGCTATAATTAACTTTGGTTATCATAATCTTTTAACCTTTGCCAACTTGAAGGCACAAATTTGTATATCTTTAAAATTTTTTTCATTTTGAAGAAATACTAAAGAATTCATCGTTTTTTTCATATATGCATTGGCTATTTGTGTTTCTTTCTTGTGAATATCCTATTCATGTCTTTGGAGAAAGTTCAGACTTACGAGTAACTAATAAAACTATTGCTTTTATCTAAGCTGGAACAATTGGATGATACTCTATTTTAAGTTTCAATACAACATATATTTTTCATTCTTTAAGTATATGTATATACTTATATATATTGATTTCAGAGAGGAAGGGGGGGGGAGAGAGAGAGAAACAAAAGTGGTGAGAGAGAATCATCAACTAGCTGCTTCCTGCATGCCCCACACTGGGGATCGAGCCGACAACCTGGAATCGAACCTAGGGGCCCTGACTGGGAATCGAACCATGACCTCCTGGTTTATGGGTTGACGCTCAACCACTGAGACATGTTGGCCGGGCTATACTTTTCATTCTTGATAGCTAAAACATTAGCATATAAATGTCCCAATTTTAGGAAGGATATTAAGGAAAGTTCTAATACTATTCTGTAGAGGTATAATCACATCTTGCTTTTCAATTGTCTGCAATTTTTTTTGTTTCAGAAAAGCACAGGTCGACCACATATAATCCAGAAAACCTTGGCGGGACAATATTCTAAGCAAATGAAGAATCTCAGTAAGTTTTAATCCAAGTAGCCATTCTATTTTGTGTGATAGGAACTATAACTTGGTGGAACTAGGTAGACAGGCAGGCTTGCTGGGAGGCAGAGCTGACTTGAAATCTGGAGTGAGCAGTGTGGTGGGCTGTGGAGAGAACGGTGGCTTTCATGTAATGAGATGTGGATAGTTGTTTTCGATGGAGAGACTGAAAAATGAAGCCTGGGAATAAAGCGATGTTAGGAACCAGAGAGTAAGGCCAAATTTAAGAGAGTGATTTACAGTGAGGTTCATGCTTAAATTTCCCTGGCAGTTTACTGCTCTTCGGCGAACTTGCATTGCCTCTCTTTTATGTCTCTCTCTGAGGCATCTTTAGCATGCTGATTTGCAAAAGCTTCTTTTGGATTATTGCAGTACGTGATGTTACTACTTCTGTATCCTGATGCCAAAAGTCTTTAATAATTTATGCAAAAGCTTATGACATACATTATTATTATTATTTTATTTAATCCTCACCCAAGGATATGTTTTTAATTGATGAGAGAGAGAGAGAGAGAGAGAGAGAGAGAGAGAGAGAGAGAGAGAGAGAGAGATGAGAGAAAAACTTCGATGCATTGCTTCCCGTGTGCTCCCTGACTGGGAATCAAACTCTCAACTTTTTGGTGTACGGGACAATGCTCCAACCGACTGAGCCACCCAGCAAGGACATGGCATACGTTATTTTTAATTCTAAAATGAATTATATACTTAATATATACTAAACTGTAGAATACTCTTAAGCTTTCAGAAATTGAAGGTCAGGTGGTTGTAGGTCAAATATGCATATTCTAATGAGTCTTGAAAAACTCATTATGTTATTGGTGATATTTGGAAGAAAATTATGTTTGAATTACATTATGACTTATTAATTACAAATTGAAATATATTTGTGACTGTGAGATATGAAGTGTTTATTGATTGGCATGCATTTTCCACCTTGATTTTGATTTTAGATGAAATTGCTCTCCAGACTGCTTTACCTTCATATAATATTTGAAAAACATACTCTCATTGAAGTACAGTCAAGCATAAGTTCTGGTATTCCTTATTTTTTTTTTTTATTCAGGTGTGGAAAGCAGTGATCAGTGGCCCTTTCTATCTGAATTACAGTGGTTGAAAAGGAGAAGGAAGAGAGCAGTGAATGTGAGTGTGGCATTAAGCCACAGGTGGGGCCATTTGACTCCGTTAAATTGTTGCCTGTCATCATACAGTATTTCAGTGTACTTAACACACTTGGGATTTGGGCAGCTTCCTCTGACACACAAAAACAACAAGCCCAAACCCTCCCAAACCTCTATAAGTTGAGTCTATAGGAATGTTGCTTTTTATTCATCTTTCCCTATCTATCTATAATATATATATTATATTATATATATTATATATATATTATATATTATATTATATATTATATATATCTATAATATATATCTATAATATATATATATATATATATATATAGAGAGAGAGAGAGAGAGAGAGAGAGAGAGAGAGAGAACTATGCTAATTAACCGGGACGCTGTAACGGGTTAACTGGACACAGGAGGTTGTGCCTGCAGTGCTGGGGGCAGGGCGGCAGGGGCCTCCGTGCCTGCGCTGGGAGAGGGCCTGATCACCAATGGCTACGGCTTCTTCAGGGGCTGGAGAGCAAGGCAGGGCCCGACCGGCGACTCGAGGGTGGGCGGCGCTGTGTGATTTAGAATCCCGCGCTGGACTCCTAGTTAACAATAATAAACTGATTCCAGTGTTCTGTGAGCCCTAGTGGTCACATAAGGAATGTGTTATTTTTGCTCTGTTTTTAAATGAAAATTGCAGTGCATTTTTTTTTCTATTGAAAATATAGCTGACTTTTAAAAATATGTCTTGTATAGCATCATATGAAACGTTTCTGTTAACAAGAGACATAGGGGAAGGAGTTAGGTTTTTAAATGTTGGCTAATCATGCTTATTTTTATTTCTTTCAAATTAAAAACTCTGTTATACCAAACTTTGAAGCTGGATGTGTTTTTCTGAACAGAATGAATCTACTTGACCATTAGTATTATGATAGTTGCTAAATAAGAATCGTGTCATTATATAATCAACAATTGTCTTTTGGCTCCCATGTATTGATACTTGTATAGGGGCATTGTAACCGAAATTATGTTCCTGGGCTTTTTCATAATAGATTAGGAAGCTGTAATGATCGGGACTGTCTCGTAATTACATGGTGAATGCTATGTAACCGAGAATTAATTCCACAGCATATAGATTACATGGTAATTTACTAGATAACTTAATAAGTAATTATGCTGAAAATTGTACATTTTAGATAAGGTTTTGGTGAATGTATTTTTGTGTGTGAAAAAATTAGACCTCCAGCCATCAAAAACTTAGTTGTAGGTGAAATCATCCTTTTTTTTGTGGTCCTATTTTTGTATTACGGTGATTATGGATACAGGTGTGTTTTTTTTCTCTTTTTTTTTTTTTTCAAATTAGAGATATGTTTTTGCTTACTCTTAAAGATGTGGTTGGTAATAATAAGTTTTACATAGGCTAATGACATTTCACTAAAGTCCACCCCTACCAAATGTAAAATGATCAGTGACCTTGTAGTTTTCTACTATGAAAAAGAAGTCCAACCTAATGGCTAATATATTTAGCTCTTGCTTTTTATGGATTATCTAGTAATAATAAAAATCTGGAAGAATTTAGAATATTTTAATTATTAGTATTTGTTCCTGTGAGAAGTTAAGAATTAGTACATTATTATTAGAATTTCACTCTGCTGAGTTAAGGTTTCTGTTTTACTACATTGGTACCTTTTCTCAATGAGCTCTACTATTCTTGGATAGGTTTTCTTGAACTTTTAATAGATGTGAATTTTTATCACATCTTTTTTTTTTTTTTAATATATTTTATTGATTTTTTACAGAGAGGAAGGGAGAGAGATAGAGAGTCAGAAACATCGATGAGAGAGAAACATCGATCAGCTGCCTCCTGCACATCTCCTACTGGGGATATGCCCGCAACCCAGGCACATGCCCTTGACCGGAATCGAACCTGGGACCCTTCAGTCCGCAGGCTGACGCTCTATCCACTGAGCCAAACCGGTTTCGGCTTTTATCACATCTTAATTGAGATTATTTACTTTTACAGAATTATACTGTATATTTTTCTCTAGGATATTTTTACATATAAAATAATATAAAAACAACATGGGGCTCTGTTCTCTGTCTTAATGAGTACTTTAATAATAGTTAAATATTGTTTTTTTCTGAATATTTGAATGTTCACTCACACCTTATGGTCACTTTTTTTCTATTTTTTGTGAGCAAGTTTCTTCAAGGGCGTTTATAAAATAGGCAGCAAAGAGTTCTTCTGAAATTCAAAATCAATCTACGACTAAGCAGTCATCCTCAGAGAAGGTGCTATTATATCTGACCATACATTTTTATATTCCACAGCCATCTCGTGGTGTGTTTGAAGAAATGAAATATTTGGAACTTATGATTGTTAATGATCACAAAACGGTAAGAGTATAGAACCAATGGGTTTTGAACCCAACAGCTTATTTGCGAAAGAGTACACTTCACTTTATATTCAGTTATTATTTGTTACTTTTTTTAAAGCAAGATACTTAGATGTTTTATTTTTTTGAAATATTAAATGATTTCATTTATTTTATGGTGTTTTGGAACACTGGGTTTTATAGAAATTTCAGAAGTCTCAACTTTCTCTGTTTAATAATGATTGTAATTGGTGGATTTAACTGGGTGGCATTTCTCACTTATCTTCATTTAAAATTCTTATTCTCTACTTTCCTCCATCTATGTATGTGGTCACTGCTTTCTAATTTTATTCCATGTCTTTGCTCTGCTAGCATGTTATTTTTCCTTACTAATTATTATTTTTTTGTTGCAGATATAATTATAGGAGATAAGCATATGTAATAAAGATATACCCAAAGAGACTATCTTTAACTGATTATTTAAATACTGGAAAGATGAAGGTCAAAGTAAAATGTGATTCAATGTGGGTTTAAGTAACACCTAAAAGATATATGAAAAGATATATGAAAAAAGATATATAAAGATAGTTATTACTCTCTATTGACTTCTCACAAAGATAAAGTAGAAACTTTCTTAACCATATTCTGCTTCTCCATTTCTCTCTCTCTTACCTTCACACAAGAATATGTTTTTCATTGATTCTAGAGAGAGAGAAGGAGAGAGAGAGAGAGAGAGAGAGAGAGAGTGAGAGAGAGAAACATCGATGTGAGAGAGAAACACGGATCGGTTGCCTGCCATACTCTTCCCAAACAAGATCGAACCTGAAGCCTGGAAATGTGCTCTGACTGGGAATTGAATCCAAGACCCAATGGTATGGGACGATGCTCTAACCAACTGAGCCACACTGGACAGGGCTTAACCATTTCTCTTATAAAATACCTTGGCTGAAGCTTAGAGCATTGATCACTAGGCTATTTGTTAGTATACCCAATAATTTTGGCATGTTGGTAAATGTTTAACACCTGGCTCTTTGGGGGGAAAAAAAAGCCTGATTTAACAAACTGAACAAGAATAATTTACATCTGTTTTTCAATATCTGGAGATTTGCTATTGGGTTTTGGAATAATGATCCCACTAAGAGTACTCATCTTATAATCTTTGTGCTAGATGAGGCAGCACAGTTATGTTGATACCTGTCACCCTTAGGTTGAAAATCAAGCTCTAATTTTTTTAGAAAACAAACTTCTTAAGGATTGTATTTGTTTATGAAGAAAAGGCAAATTTGGCACTTTAAATGTTAATTATTTTCAGTAATCAGAACATGTGAAAGTAAGTTTTATCATAAATGGAGATTGAACATTTTTCTTAGTATATGAAATTAGTTCTCATTCATGCAAGGAAATAGAAATATTGCGCTACATTTACATTCAAGGTTACTTTTTTAATGCAGAGTAACCTAATATTGGCTTCCTGAAAAAAATGCCCATATCTTATTTTGAACAAGCATCATATCAGTGGATTTCGTTAGACCAAAAAAAAAAAAAATCCCTCAATTTTGTAGAAGCATCTTAGTAGCTGGCTGGTGGAACCTAATTTGTGAGCCAATTATAGCCTTGATAAGGGTCGGCAAACATTTCTTTGAGCCAGTAATCTAAACATAAATATTAAAAACCATATTCTAATTGAAAAATGGTTGAAATACTTTAAAGTGCATGAAAATGTTTTGCTTACACTTATTGCTCTATTCTTATGTGTACGTCAATAAGTGAAAATGTAATAGCTCAAATATTTTTCAATTTAAACCTCATTTGGTTTTTCTTATTTAAAAGCTATTATGTTATTTATTTATTTATTTTTATTTTTAAATTACAGTTTACATTCAATATTATTCTCTATTAGTTTTAGATGTAAAACAGAGTGAAAAACCACTATATTTTATAGGTACCTAATAAATTAAGAGTTATTAATAATCATGATTTATTAGGAATATACATAAACTCTTTTATAAAAATTATTAACTGAACAAGTTTATTTCCTATCTCAACCCAGACTAGCCTTTGAATTCCACTTATGTGATTGTGGCTATTTTTATTTGTCCTCTCTGAGCCTCACTTTCCACATTTATAAAATGGGGATAATAAAATCCACCTCATAGAGTTGTGAAGAACAAATATTTCTTGTAGGAGAAAGACTTACCATAGATCCTAGTACATGCTAGGTGGTTAATTAAATGGAAGTTCAAGCGAACAAACCCTAGAACTCACTGTGTCCTTATCTTACTTGCCCACTCTCTCAGCAGCACTGGACACAATTGATTATTCTCTCTTGTTTGAAACATTTTCTTCATCTCTAAGCTTCTGTGACACAACGGCTCTCCCACTTCACCAGCTATTTTTTCTTAGTCTCTTACATCTGACCTCTAGAATTATAAGAATGCCCTACAGCTTGGCTTGGGGCCCTCTTTTCTTTCGATAACTCTCCCCCAAAATGACCACTTCCAGTCTCAAGTCTTCAAATAATATCATGACTTAAATTCATCACTCTTTATACCTCTTACCTTCTGAGTTCCATAGTTGCATATTCAACTGCTTACTTGACATCTGTACTTCAATATTGAATAGGCATCTCACTTTACCATTTCTAAATCAGAACTCTTGGTTCCTGGGTCCTAAACATCTTTTTTTAAAAAATATATTTTTTTATTGTTGATAGTATTACAGATATCTCCTATTTCCCTCCCCTTTTCCCCCTCCTCCCAACCCCTACTCACCCCTCCTTCCAGGTCTTCACTACCCTATTGCCCATGTCCATGGACTATGCATATAAGTATATAAGTTCTTATAATTGAGGTCCTTGAGTTTAAAGTGAGGTCCTTAACTTCTTTTCTCTTAGTGTATCTCATTATTTTAGATGGCACTACCATCCCCCCAGCTATTCAAGTTCAAAACCTAGGAGACATCTTTTTATTCTCTTTTCTCACCTTTCACAGTCTCTATAATGTCCAGCCTTTGTTACCTGTAACCTGGACTATTGTAATAATTTCTCAACAGGTCTCTGTTTCCATTTTTGAACTTATCTAATTCACTCAACTCATAGCAAGCAGAGTGACCTTTCTAAAAGGAAAATCAGAGACTTGAAAATAACAAACATGAAATAAATGAAAATCTCATCACATTTTGATAGACTTAAAAAGACTTTTATTTTACAACTTGCGTGTCATATTTCTCTTGACCATCCTATCTAATAAAAGAGAAACATGGTAATTAGTGTACATCCGCTACCTTTCCCATTGGTTAATCAAGGCAATATGCAAATTACCTGCCAGCCAAGATGGCGGCCGGCAGCCAGGCAGCTTGAAGCTAACATGGGGCTTGCTTGCTTCAGTGACGGAGGAAACCAACGTTCCCCGCCTGCCTTACTGGCCTCTGAGCTTGCAGTTTGAAACATTGTTACAAATATAGAAGCTAAACAAAACCCCAGAAACCTGCTTTCAGCCAGCAGGAATCTCAGAGCTGGAGTTGATACAGTGTTCCAATTATAGAACCCAAACAAACCAGATACCTGCTTTCAGCAGCAGAGGCCTCAGAGCTGGAGCCAGAGCTAAAGCTGGCCCAGAATAATAAAAAAAAAAGAAAAAAAGGAGCAGTTGGGAGCTTCAGTCACCTGCCAGCCTGAAAACAGCCCTCAGCCCCTCACCCAGACTGGCCAGGCACCCCAGTGGGGACCCCCACCCTGAAGGGTGTGTGACCAGCTGCAAACAGCCATCATCCCTTCACCCCGCCTGGCCAGGCACCCCAGTGGGGACCCCCACCCTGATCCAGGACACCCTTCAGGGCAAACCAGCCGGCCCCCACCCGTGCACCAGGCCTCTATCCTATATAGTAAAGGGGTAATATGCCTCCCAACACCGGGATCAGTGGAGCCATGAGGCCTCCCAGCACCGGGATCAGCGGAGCTGAGAGGCCTCCCGGCACCGGGATCAGTGTGACAGGGGGCAGCGCCCAAACCCCCTGATCGCCCTGCGGCTCTGTGTGTGACAGAGGGCAGGGCCACAACCTCCCTATCCGCCCTGCTCTGTTCGTGACAGGGGAGGGCACCCCAACCCCCTGATCAGCACTGCTCTGTGCCTGATAGGGAGGAGCTCCCCAACCCCCTGATCACCCTGCGGCTCTGTGTGTGACAGGGTGCGGTGCCCCAACCCCCTGATCGGCCCTGCTCTGTGGGTGACAGGGTGCAGCACCCAACCCCCCCCCCCACGGGCCCTGCTCTGTGTGTGATGGGGTAGAGCCATAACCTCCCCATCGGCCCTGCCCTGAGTGTGAGAGTGGCGGCGCCCCAACCCCCCTGATGGGCCCTGCTCTGTGCGTGACGGGGTGGCGCCGCAACCTCCCCATCGACCCTGCCTTGAGTGTGACAGGGGGCGGAGCCCCAACTCCCCAATCAGCCCTGCTCTGAGCCCGACCAGGGGCTGCACCTAGGGATTGGGCCTTACCTCTGCCACCCGGGAGCAGGCCTAAGCCAGCTGGTCGTTATCTCCCGAGGGTTCCCAGACTGCGAGAGGGCACAGGCCGGGCTGAGGGACCCCCCTCTCCCCCCTGAGTGCACAAATTTTTGTGCACCGGGCCTCTAGTTATACTATAAAAAGAGGTTTCCAAAAAGGACAAATTAATATTCAGAAGGAAAATAAAATGTACCTTAATAGGTGTGTAACACCATTGCATAGAGGAGGTGTCAGCTAGTATTTTTCCTTTTTGTGACATGTGCTTCCTAATGCCAAAGCTTTTTGTTAAAGTTTATGATTCAGTGGTATTTAGTACCTTTACTAAGTGGTGAACCATTACCTCTGTCTAATTCCAAACATTTTCATCACCCCAAAGAGACTTTTGCTTTTTACTTTTAAAGATAGTCAACAAGCCCTAACCGGTTTGGCTGAGTGGATGGAGCGTCGGCCTGCGCACTGAAAGGTCCCAGGTTCGATTCCAGTCAAGGGCATGTACCTTGGTTGCAGGCACATCCCCCTTGGGAAGTGTGCAGGAGGCAGCTGATCGATGTTTCTCTCTCATCGATGTTTCTAACTCTCTATCCCTCTCCCTTCCTCTCTGTAAAAAATCAATAAAATATATTAAAAAAAAAAAAAAGATAGGCAACAAGTACCACATGATCTTACGCAAATGTGGAATCTAATAAACAAAATAAAATGATGAACAAAATAGGCCCAGAGACATAGAAGCATGGAACAGACTGATGAATCTCGGGGGGGGGGGGGGGCGGGGAGAGTAGTGGGGGGAGTGAGAAGAGACCAACCAAAGAACTCTTATGCATATATGTATAATCCATGGATACAGACAGTAGGGTAGTGGAGGCCTGGGGTAGAGGGGGAAGGGTCTATAATGGTTCAATGGGAAAAAAAGGAGGACATATGTAATACTTTCAACAATAAAGGTGTTTTTTTTTTAAATAGGCAACTTAAAATGCTGAGCTACTTATAGCAACTTCTTTATGCTCCATTTATTAAAAAAAAACAAAAAAACCTGTTAAAATGTCCTGTGTCTTCACATGGTGGAAGGGACTAGGGGTCTCCCTGGACCATCTTTTATAGAGATATTAATCTTATTCATGAGGGCTCTACCCTCATGACCTAAGTACTTCCAAAGGTTCCACCTCCTAATACCATCATTTTGGCGGTTTGGATTTCAACATATGAATTTTGGGGCAGATGTAAACATTCACACCAAAGCAAATGTAAATATAATCATTATAAAAATTAATGAATACTACTAATAGCAAACACAATACTGATTTATTGAACATTTATCATGGGCTGAGTAGTGTGCTTAGTATTATCAACAATATCAGAAATTTAAGCATTAAGATATATATATATATATATTCTTTGTTTAAAAAATATAGTAACAGAGTTAGTTTATAATGTGAAAGTGGAAAAGGAGAAACAAAAAGCATATCATGGTTTTCCAGTGTGGAAATACTTTTAATCTTTATTAAGGGTGCATTATTTTAGTAATTATAATTGAAGCACATTTTTAAAACTTATGGTGCAAATTTGATTTGGTAGTTTGGGAATGTTTTTTGTTTGTTTGGTTGGTTTTTTGCTTAGTAGAGGACATGACCCCCCTGTGTATACTTTTGTTTTTAAATATCCTCTCTAAGACATTCTAAGCAAAGTACTCCTTGCTAAAACTGTAGCCCTTCAGATATTGCTTTGCAATTATTCTATTAATTTATTTTTTCTTAAATGATCACGAGCTATCGTCACATTTCACTTTTACTTTATGTCTCTTCTTGTTCTAACTTTGAGCAGTCAAAAGCAAAAGGCTTCATTTGGAGGAGGCATTCTTCTGAAAGAATATACTAGAATGTATGACAGATACATTCCATATCATGGACAATATTTAAAGTGCTACCTAAGAAATTTTCTTGATCTGTGTATGGCCCTTGAGTTTAAAGTGAGGAGGGTGTCCAATTGGGACTAAGTTTATTGGTGTAAGCACTTTATAAGCTGGGAAGGTTGTTTCATTGAAAATGAAAGGGTTGTATTTATAGACATTAAGACTGAAATAACTTCCTTCTCAGGAGTAAAGCTTCTCACACATATTTCTGTCAGCCATCTGTGTTACCTGGAATATCCTGGATGTTTTAGATCATCAGAGTTTTGCTGCCTAACACAGAAATAAATAACACCACCAGATCCACTAAATTCTTAATTTTAATCCCCAATTTCTACTGCTGCTATGAGATTCCTGCTTTTATAGAATTTTTATATTTACCATTAAATTATGATTTGGTTCATTTTGTTCATTGGATGCCACATGTAAGTGAAATCATATGGTACTTGTCTTTCTCTGACTGGCTTATTTCACTTAGCATAATGCTCTCCAGGTCCATCCATGTTGTTCCAAAGAGCAGTGATGCACTCATAGATAGAGAGCAGTCTGTCCACTGTTGGAGGGGAGGGTGGCGCTGGGGGGGAGGGGGAGGGATTAAGCAAAAGAGGGGAAAAATGAGAAAAACTCATGGACACGAACAACAGTGTGGTGATTGCCAGGGGTGGGAGGTGGAGGAAAGTAGAGGAAGGTATCGGGGGAATCAATGGTGATGGGTGGAAATCTGACTTGGGGTCAAATACAGTGTACAAATAATGTGTTGTAGAATTGTGCACCTGAAACCTGTATAATTGTGTTAACCAGTGTCCCCCCCAATCAATTCAATAAAAAGGAAAAAAATTATGATTTGGCATTGACTGAGATCTTTTTTTCCTCTCTAGTATAAGAAGTATCGCTCTTCTCATGCACACACCAACAACTTTGCAAAGTCTGTGGTCAACCTCGTAGATTCTGTAAGTATCCCGTTTTCTCGAACCTCTGTTTCTAAGGTGAGATGCTTTACATCTCTATGTGCTTACTTGTTGCTTTAGTTCTTGCTTGAGCAAAAGTGAAAATTCCACCCTTAAGTTCATCTGGCTGCGGAATTATAGGGTGGTCTGCTTCACAAAGAGTGGTGTTGTCAGAGTTTCAGGGGACTGTTGAGTTATTCAGGGAATTCCAAAAATCCACGAGAGTTGCTTCTAAGTGATGTCTGGACCTCATTGTCTCCAGAGCTTAAGGAGGACAAAAATCCGGGAGAAAATTAGCTACCAAGAAGAGTGTCAGTTCAACCTGACAAAGAAGACTTTGTTCGTAATAATCAATTGAGCTTATTGACTTAAACATATCGCAGAAGCACTCTAATAGATTGAGGTGGACCATGTTTGAAGGGTATAGGAAATACAAAAATAAATTTTTTAAAAGAACTCAAATTTGTCTTCTTACTGTTCCCTTGGTAGAATGTTTCAGACTTCATTTCCAGGTGACAGAATTAAGTGTGTCCCCACACAAAACGGATTTGAAACAGGTAAAATACATATCTCCTTACAAAGACCTCAAACTAAAAACTTTTATGTTGATAATTTTTTCTCTTATTTTGTAAATTACAGGGAATGATGGTTAAGATTTTCTTGCTTTTTCCTGTTAGGTAGGCACTCCATAGATGTGAATATTATTCATTGTGTTCCAATAAATTGCTCATTAGACGAGTCATCAATTAAAGATAGCATACTACTTTGTGTATTCCAATGTTAAGTGCTATTTTGTTCAGCTAAATATATTTTTATCTGATATTTATTGTTATGTTCCCTCTTAACTAGGGGGGAAAAAACCTTTTTATAAATTGCCGAATACTTAAATGATACTTATTTTCTCCAAAGAACTGCCTTCTCTTCTGCCCTTTAAACAGTCCAAAACCCCCAACCCTATAAAGACTCATAGCCTAGAATGCCTGGTAGGCACAGCTGGAGGGGCACAGAGTGTCGTATGGAGTTAGGATTGAAATTCTGAAAGCCACTTTGTACCTGGTTTCCTTTAATTTCAGCTCTTGTCAGTCTTCTGAGAGGAAAATTATAAGTGAATATGGAAATGAGAATATTAAACACACCTTTCCCCCTGCCAAAGCTGTTTACTTGGCAGCATTCCTCTGTTAGTCATTTCAGCATGATTGAACCGAATCACATCTTGCAAAGTGTAATTTGTATTTTGGATTGCCATATAAGGTTCTGAAGCTGAACAATTGATTTTGAAAAGACATTACATTTCACTTGCTCCTTGTAGAAATCATTTCTGCTTCAGGTTGATTTAGGCATGCTGCGACTCCCGCTCTGCGGTGTGTTCAAAGGTCAGCCGTTATTTTCTTAATTAGCTTGGAAATAGGACAAAATGACAACATTCATTGAAATTGCTTAATTATGTGAATTATTTAGCTACCGGGCCTGAAGTAGAGAGAGAGCGGAGAGACACAATGGAAACGCTGTGAGTGACGCCACCCTGTGGTGAAGGTGAAATGGTGATACAAATCTGCTCTTTCCTCTTCTGGCCTCGGCTCTGGGATTCTTTCCCACTGCTGCTTTACTTTTCATCTCACAAAGCGTCCCAGGGCAAGCCAGCCATGCGGTTGGTGCTTATCCAAGGATTTAGTGATCTGTTCCAGTCTTGTAGGAATAACTGGTCATACTACACTACCCAGGGCTGATGAATTTGGTTCCAACCTGTTACCTCCTATGAGGTTTGGGAGGGTGTTTTTTCTGAACCCTGTTTTGAATTTATATCCAGGCTTTAGAATCTTGACATCCCTCCTATCTATCCTGAAGTGAGATGCCTGGCCACTAACGGTGCTGATTTCAGATGAAAACAATCTTAGAGGAGAAGCCAAATTGTGTGATTGTTCATTGTTATTGCTGCTCTTGGAAAATGGAAAGGAAATGAAGATTCTCTCGAATGAGCCAATTATGACCTCGTGTTCTCCTCTCCCCTCCCCTCCCATCTTCCCGCCGACTCTGAATCACTGATGGTGCACGTTTGACCCAGTGTTTTTCTCTTGCACCTGTCCTGTTGTGTCCCCTCAGATTTACAAGGAGCAGCTCAATACCAGGGTTGTCCTAGTGGCTGTGGAGACCTGGACTGAGAAGGATCACATCGACATCACCACCAACCTTGTGCAGATGCTCCATGAATTCTCCAAATACCGGCAGCGTATCAAGCAGCACGCCGATGCTGTGCATCTCATCTCGTATGTGCCCACCATCTTTGGTTTGACATTTGTCTTTATCCCTTTATTTTATGAGTTAAGTTCTATATCAATATATCGATTTTGAACAAGACTGATGTTGAGCCCTAGCTGGTTTGGCTCGGTGGATAGAGCGTCGGCCTGTGGACTGAAAGGCCCCAGGTTCGATTCCAGTCAGGGACACATGCCTGGGTTGTGGGCTTGATCCCCAGTAGGGGGCATCCAGGAGGCGACCGATGGGTAATACTCTCTCATCATTGATGTTTCTATCTCTCTCTCCCTCTCCCTTTCTCTCTGAAATCAATAAAAATATATTAAAAGAAAAAAAAAGAGAGTGATGTTGATTCCTCTCTCCATTAAATGAGAAGCATGGAGGAAGGCTGTCTGGTGCCGGGAGGCTGCTGGTTCCATAGTCATTAGATCTACCTTCAGAGAATATCCCTACCTTCAGACCTTCCATCCACAAGGTCACCTCAAGGTGGTTGCTGGTGCTCCAGCCTTTATTACAGGGCAGGAATGATGGTCCTGGAGGATTGTAAGAAGGCATGCCTTCTGCTGAATTAGTTCCTTTGAAGCAGATTTCCTAAAAGCTTGCACACATTAGTGTCACCAAGAAATCATTTGTTAATTTTTTTTAAAAAATCCTCACCTGAGGATATTTTTTCCATTGATTTTTAGAGAGAGTGGAGGGGAGGAAGGGGAAGAGAGAGAAAAAAACAGAAGCATAGATGTGAGAGAGACACATCAATTGGTTGCCTCCCATATGTGCCCCAATTGTGCTGGGGATGAACCCTTGACTGGCCATCAAATCTGAGACTCTTTGGTGAGCGGGCCTAAGCTCTGTGTTGAGAAACACAGGCCAGGGCTGCTAAATATTACTCATATGGCCATACTGAGCTGCAAGAGAGGCTAGGAAATACAGACTTTTCAAGTGAATTATTGAATAAAATTGAACTATCACTGAGGAACAGAGGTACCATATTTTCTGGTGTGTAATAGGTGTTCCCCACATACGATGAGGCTGTTTTCAGACAGTTCTCTAAGGTTCTCTCCTGGGATCAAACCAATCAAAGTTTCCTTCCTTTCCTCTCACCTTTACTGTTTACTTTCTTTTCTTCCAGTCTTTAATCAACATTTTGTAATAATCAGCAATATTTTTGTATAACTACGAGATAGTCTCTATTGGAAGAAAATCAAGAGTTTGTGTTCTCAATTCCTGAGTTCCTACATGATGCTTAGTAGGGGCTCAGTTAATATTTGCTCAACTGAGATTATTAACATAACATAAATTTAAAGGTTTTTTATGACAGCATAAATTTCAATGTTTTTAAAATGCAGTTTTTGATTATTGTGAAGGAGGATGATTTGGGGGTGTTCAGTGTAGGAGAGTAGACATGTTTGGGGAGAGCTTATGTGATGGTCACTACATTGGCTTCCTAATATCGATTTTCTTCCTTAAGGCGCGTGACATTCCACTATAAGAGAAGCAGTCTGAGTTACTTCGGAGGTGTCTGTTCTCGCACGAGGGGAGTTGGTGTGAATGAGGTAAAATTTGTCAGTGTTCTTAAAGTAGAGCTTTATCTTTGCATCTGATCTGATCCCCCTCCCACCCCGCCCCGTGGCCCAGTTTGCATCCTTCCTCAGGCCTGTTTAGAATGATAATGATGAGAATACAGTATGAATGTTTATATTAATAAATAAACCTTGTAAGAAAAGAGGTATTGTTTCATTTTATAATGATAGTTTTCCTTTTTATCAGGCAAGTACAAGCCAAAGAGGTTTTTTTGGCCTCTATAGATACATTTTTACAAGCTTGTTAATCCCTTACAATTATTTTTGAAAATTATAATGCTCTTTTGCCCAAGTTAAGTTTAACTCATTTATATGAAAGAATTCGTGATTGTATCTACTCAGCATCTCTGTTTTGTCCCTATGTAATTATTTTATATTTATGCCTTCTACCTACCTATCTGTAGAAGTAATTGAAGCAATTATTTCCTTAATCTCAGTATCTTCATTTATGTAATGAAAATTCTGATAACAGTTGGCAGTAGCACCCAAAAAGCTGAACCAACTGTATCTAAACCTTGAGCCATACCAGAGTATCCCAGCTTATCCTCATGACCATCCTTCAGTGGAGTCCTCTTGACATGCTTCTAGGAAGTTGAATTTATTCTTGGTTTGATATGAGTTGAGTTGGGGCACAACCTTTTATGACTTGTATGTTACAATATCATGTGAGAGGAGAGCATAAGGTTTGGAGAGGTGCCATGTAGTAACAGAGGCTTCCTGCTTCCTGGGCTCAGTTGCCAGGAAGAAGTGATAAAGGAGCAGATGCTGCTTTCTGATGCTGTGAGGCTCTTAGGGAACTGAGATGTTACATGGTGATGATGAAGAAATAATAACTAGTTTTGTGCACTCTCTCAAATGTTTCCCACACACTTTCAACTCTGAAAAACAGTATGGTCTTCCAATGGCAGTGGCACAAGTATTATCGCAGAGCCTGGCTCAAAACCTTGGAATCCAATGGGAACCTTCTAGCAGAAAGCCAAGTATGTACACCGACCTTCTCACTCACTTGCATGTCTGTGTAATGCATGACCAGTTAACAAATACATATGCTTCTTTTCTAAGTCATTGTCGTTTAATTGTAGTATATCTCCTTCCTCTAAAACAATGATAAGATGAGCAACTCAAGGTAATTCTTATTATGTTTGGGTTGTAGAAATGTCTTTTTTTCAAAGTCCCCAGAAGCATACTCACTTTCTCAGAGTATTATCAGCGTTTTCATACTGTGAAGTGTTGGGGGTGGTGACACCTCACCCTTTGGGTTCTAACCACCTGAGTATAGACACACGATGCCCCAGGGGGCTCCTTCACTAGTTTAATAAGAGTACAGGTGGATCAGGAAATAGCTTAGATCCAGAGTCAAAAAGGATCTCAAACTCCACTTACCTACCTACCTACCTCTAATTAAACTCATCCACCAGTCCTAGCAAGAAACGATAGAGAAGAAGCCTCCCGGACAGGAGGTCCTGATACAGGGCCTTGTGAGCTTGGGGGCAGGTGGTAGAGGATATACTCTAGTGGGCAGGCAGGGCCGAGAGGAGTGCAAACAGAGCCACAGATCCTAGCCGGTAGGAAAATGCAGCCAGTGCCTGGGGGGTGTTCCTCTGGTTGTTGACCAGATGAGAGGTGGATGGAAAGGCAGACCTGAGTTTCCAGTGACAGAGTGTCTAAGGCCCACAGTAGTGTTAGGGGTCCATGAAAAATTTTAATTTCTTTAAAAATCAGAATAAAATCCACTGTGGATAATATTCCTCTTTATACCAACACAATAATCAAATATAATTTCTAATACATTTTGTGGTAGAAGGCAAAAGTGCCCAGGACTCACATAATGTAATCCCATGGAAGGAAAGACCAAGGTGTTCGCTCAAATTATTCTCTTACTTTGGAATGAAATGGAAGTTTCCTTCCCCTGTGAAAATATCAGACACAAGGCGTAAACATTCCCGCTCCCCAACCTCCCCAAAGAAGGAAAGAATGGAAATGTACCTTAACGTTTACATCTGGTACTTTTTGACTCTCGATGGGCATCACATTATGGGTATGTTAAGTCTAATGGCACTTATCTCCAGACTTTCATTTATCAACATCTTGCTCAGTGTATTTGCTTTCCCAAGAAAACAGTACACACCAAAGAAGGTTCAGCAGCTGGCTTAGATGCCTTAAAATCAGAAAGGAGTAGGACCAGGTTTCCCACCTTAATTGAAAACCCTGAAGCCAGGAAGAGGCCAGTGCTGGGGTCAGCTGAGAGGTGGTACTGAGTTGGATGATGGGATAGGGTGAGAAATAGTGTTCATTAGTGCCTGGCGTAGTTCCTTCCTTCCTTCCTAAAATTCTTAATTCCTTTGTGAATTGTTTGTTTAGCTAGATAATTATTAGTTTTGAGCTTTCAATGATAAAAAAATCAATTTGCGAGTCTTTCTTTAAAATTATGATAGAAAAGAGAATAGGGAAAAATAAGTGACAAGAATAGCCCTTCACAGTATCAATATGTCAGTCTTTGGTATCTATGCTAATGATGGTTATTTAATGTAAATGATTATCTACATGTCTGTTTTAGATAGCTCTCTCTTACCAAACCGTTTAGCATAGCGTTCTTCAGGTCTCTGGCCGATCCCTGTTCTGACCATAGCAAATTGGACTCTTTAACTTCCAGTATGCTCTGGGAGCAGGACAGCGATGATGGCTCATTGCATTTGTGCCGTAGAGCAGTGCAGTGGACAGAGAGCTCACAGGTTACCACGTCATGTGAGCCCCAGGACCACCCTGGCATCTAAGCAGAGAGACACCTTCCCCATTTTAGAGGTGGAAACACTGAACCCCCAGACATGCTAAGTCGCTTCCCTATGGGACCCTTTCACCAAGGAGAACTGGGACCACAGCTTTCTGTGGTCCAGACCAGGGTACTTTTCATTCAACATTGGAACGAGGAATTTAATTGAGTTCTCTGAGTTACAATAATGAGGAGAGGCACAATTGTATTTCTTGCCGGCTGTTAGGAGGTGACCTTTACTTCTGGAAAGAATGAAGACATATTGATTTAAAGGAAGTCGATTTTGCTCTGTGAGACGTCACTGTCTGTACCTAGGAGTGGAATTAGAATTAAGAAATTATTGAAGAGCTGTAATGCAAATGACAGATGTGACTTTCGTTGTTTCTCTTTTCTTCTGTTGCTTTGTTTCTTTGGACTAGAATGTGACTGCACAGAATCCTGGGGAGGCTGCATAATGGAGGAAACAGGGTAAATTTTCATATACGTGCGTTTGATGAATGTCTTTCACTGCAATTGCTGCATATAATTAGATACACAATCTCTCGGTACTGGCCTTTTAAGCTAAGCACTTAGTATAAATTCAATAATTAATTATCTGATATTTTAAAAATGAAAGGACTAATTTACTTTATGTTTTAATTTTTTATTTAAAGTTGATGATCAGTGTAAGATATAGTAACTACTTCTACATCTATTAACCCTTAAAGATAGCATAGTATTAAATGCTTCTAAGTTTAATAGAGATATTAATTTTTCAGTACACTTAGAATAAAAGCTGGTTGTCTACCTGAAGCAGTCAGTGAAAACCAATTTAGTCATCAATTTATATCTTAAGGAACTCACCAATAGATATGTTGCTGTAATAAAAATTATACTGTACTGCTTATATAACCAATAACTTTTTTTATTAAGACAGATCGTGTCTAAATTAGGTAGTCTTCTACTGATAGACATTTGAACATTTCCTCACCTACCTCCTCTCTGTCCCAGAGCTGCCATTGCTTCTGTGCACCAAGGCCTGGAAACGTTGTCCTCTTTCCCAGGGACCCTTCTCCCAGGGCAACCTCTGTCCCAAGGCCCCTAAGCTAGAATCTTCTCCTTATAGATGGGAGAGGTTTCTCACCCTTGTGCCCCTCCTACTTCTTGGCCCCATTCCCGACATCTGCTCAATACATTGGCCATTTCTAGTGCTACCCCCATCCCTAAGCGCCCCAGTTGCCAGAAACCTGAGCTGTTTGGACAGAGACCTTTCCTTATTCTCCCACCAGGAGTTCAGCTCATAGGACAGACAGGAGTGTGAGCCTGAGGGTTTGCAGGGAGAGCCAGCCATTCTGCCTGCTATTTTAGAACACAGAAACGGCATAGCCCCTTGCTGCTGAACCATAGTTTAGTAATATTATGGCTTTTAAGCAGGCTTTTTGGAGGACTGCTATAGGGAAGTAACACTACTTATAATATTGGTTCTATAGGTCTGTATCTAAACTCCCAATTTCAAAATGACTTCTTTCTTTTTATTAAGTTTATTGGGGTGACATTTGTTAATAAGATTGTATAAGTTTCAAGTATAAATTTTTATGATATATGATCTTCATATTGCATTGTGTGCCCACCATCCAAAGTCAAATCATCTTCCGTCACCATGTATTTGATCCCCTTTAAATGAATTTTTTGAGACTACATATAGGATATGGTAAAACTGACATTAATATTTATTTTTTCAAGTACACATTTCTGTGTAGTTCTTGTAAGAGATTACTGTCAACAATGGCAGATTTCACCTTCTTCCATACACTGCCCTCATATATCAGGATACAGAGAATTATTGGATTACCTCCTGGCATAAGTGGCCTTTCAAACTTCAAATCAAGTGCTATTACAAATATGCTCGAGGAATTAATGTGCGTGATTTAGTTTAACCTTGACTATGTGTATAACATTCCCCTATGTACTGACTGACATAGAGATAGTAATTTGATTAATCAAATCATAGAGAAGCTCATATTGTAATCCTACTAAGTCATGAATGTCACCTAATAATAGTATTTGTGATTGAGAACAGGGAGCTATTATTCACAGGAGCTTACCCTAATTCTGTTTGTATTGTGTGTGTGTGTACACTAAAAGCATATATGCATGTACACACAGATATATATGGCCTAATACATTCTTTTCGGGTTTTCTTGTTTACTGGAATTGTTTTGTGGAAGCTTGCATTATACAATCATTAATAATTGACCCTTACAACTCCCTCCTCCTCAAAAAAAAAAAAAATAAAAAAAAATCCAGTGGGTTCCTGAGGTCTTTTTATTCAGGACAGAGGCAAAAAAGTGCCTACCTTTACTGAGACAGAGCAAATAAAAATGACCACATTTTAAAATACAGGCTTAACGAAGAAGTTTTGTGATGAGCTTTTCAAAAAGTCTTTGAAAGCCAGGCATGAAAAAGCCTGGATGCTGAGGAGGTTGTCCCCTAGCCCCCAGGTTATTTTTATAAACTCGATCACACATACTTTGCCGATTTGAACATAAGAACCTTGTCAAAATTTGTGTAGAATCATCTGAGTCCAGAGTGAACATTTTGTTCTAAATCCAGGGTTTTAATTTTCTTCTCCGATGACTTCTTTTGGGAAGTTATTTACATAATTGATTCTTTATTTCCTCAGGGTATCCCATTCCAGAAAATTCTCAAAGTGCAGCATTTTGGAATATAGAGACTTTTTACAGAGAGGGGGTGGAGCCTGCCTTTTCAACAGGCCAACGAAGGTTAGTAACTTAGGAAGTATAATATTCTCTCTCTCTCTCTCTCTCTCTCTCTCTCTCTCTCTCTCTCTCTCTCACACACACACACACACACACACAGTGGAATAGTGCCAAGTATCACTTGTCTTGGAAAGCAGGGTTGTTGTCAATAAGTTAATATTTAGTTACCAAAGGCTTTCTCATGTTGAAGAGTGAGACCTGTTTAAATGAACAGTTCACTTGTCCTGAACTGAAAATCTTTATCCCTCATAGTGTGAACATCTGTAAGTCTTGCTGTGGAAATATTAATGTGTTTGATTATAGGGCATCCAACAGGCCCCTCAGGGTTATTACATGGAACATGGTAAATGCATCATACTTTTCTAAAATCCAGAAAAGCCAGAGTCCTCAAATTCACCAGATATAACAGTAAAATTCACCAGATTTTACTGTTCTGAATCTGTTTTTTAGCACTAGCTGCTGCACCCTCTCCCAACCCTCTCCCTGAAACAATCTTTTAATTAAAATATATTTGAAATTTCAGGTTAGGGTTTTTACCCTGGTACTAAGAAATAGTGGATTACATTAAGATATATTGCTTTAACATTTCTCTGACAAAAATTGCATTTGGCCTTAACATTCTCTCTAGGGGTATAACTAATGTCTTGGCCCTCTCCTCCCCTCTCCTCCCCTTCCCTTCCCCTTCCCCTCTTCTTCCTTCCCTTCCCATCCCCTCCTCTCCTCCCTCCATCCTTCCATCCATCCTATCTTTCTTTTTTAAAAATATATTTTTATTGACATTCAGAGAGAGGAAAGGAAGGGAGAGGGATAGAGAGACAGAAACATCAATGAGAGAGACACATTGATTGGCTGTCTCCTGAACAGCCCTCTATTGGGGTCAGATCAAGTCAAACCGAGGACCTCTTGGTCCATGGGTCAGTGCTCAACCACTGAACCACACCAGTTGGGCCTTTCTTCCCCTCCCTTCCTCTCTCCCTCCCTCCCTTCCTTCTTTCCTTCCTTCCTTCCTCTCTCTCATAGTCTGTTCTCCCAGAAAAGAAGCATTTCTAATATCAGAGAGCAAAAAAAATGGGCCAAGTATTTATGGATCCCATTAACACATATATGTTATATTACACAGTCTCTTTACTTGGGAAGGTCCACATTGTCAATTGACATTTCATTGAAGTTCATATATACAGTGTCATAATCCCTTATCCACGGATTCCTTCATTCAAAAGCTCTGAAAACTGGAAGCGTTTTTATTAGTTTGCAGAAGACACAATGGACAGTGTCACTTGTCCTGAACTGAAAATCTTTATCCCTCATAGTGTGAACATCTGTAAGTCTTGCTGTGGAAATATTAATGTGTTTGATTATAGGGCATCCAACAGGCCCCTCAGGGTTATTACATGGAACATGGTAAATGCATCATACTTTTCTAAAATCCAGAAAAGCCAGAGTCCTCAAATTCACCAGATATAAAGCTTTTGGTATGGGACTACAGACCTATAGTAATATGTTTGGAAAAAGTTGCTCAACAGACAAAAAGACAGGGTTGGTGCTAATTAGCAGATGGTATAGACATTCTAACATTGCACATTTCATATTTCCTTTAAGTCAAAACAAGTCCATTGCTATACAAAGTGTTTAACACTCTGCAAATTGAGAGAGCAGTGAAATCATGTTAGTCTTTAAAAAAAATCAGTACTAATGTGGGTAACTGACAGAATAATTTATTCCTATCCCCATAATTAAGTGATACTGCTATAGCCAGGGGATGGTAGTTTGATGCCTTGACATTTGTATAGAATCTAAGTAAGGCTGCAGAAAAAGAAATAGGAATTTTAAAGTGAACTTGCATCATTAAAACTTGGCTGCCTGCCTTTTATGACATTCATCTCAATGCAACAGAAACCTGACAACTCCAGAGTGTATAAAATGGATGCAATGAGTAATGATGAATTAATGTGAGCAACTGGTATTTTGAATGCAATGCATGTGGCCAATTTTACCTGCCTTGCAGCTCACCAACTAATTATAAGCATCACACGTGAGGCAACAACACTGAGTTGTTGGGAAAGGTTAAGATTTTGAGTGTGTGTATAAGGATCCATCACTAGATGTCTGACATTGCCTGTGAGTGGAAAGAAAATGATTCCAGTAAGCTGGAAACTTAAAAGTAACCATCTACCTTTAATTTTAAAAGTTAGTAAATAGGAAATTGTTTTTCGCTGAAAACGGCATATTAGCGTGTTTTGTAAAAAGCCCCTTTGGATTCCAGTGTTTTTATGTATGTAACAAAGAACTGACTTTGTCCAAGTGTTTTCAGCCAATGACTGTACGGATGCATGTTTTATGTGTTTTTACATGACCTGTGTGCATCTTTTTTGTGCCGCGGGAACCTTCCCAAGGCCATGTTTCCCATGTGCTGTGCCACAGTGACCTGTCTCAAGAGAAGAGTCCTAAGGTTACATGTTCCGGTCTGCCCTTCCCTTTTCCATTTTCTCCTGCTTGCTGATCAAAATACCACAGGCATTAGGACTGTTGATTTCATTCATTGGACTTGCCCGCCGGGGAGTCCCACCCATGTCTCCTGGAAATCTTCCCCGTTTCTTATAATAGTTCTCCTTCCTGGAAGTGGAAGGGGGGATCAGATCTTTCTCAGGTGGACTCAGTGGAAGCCACCCCTGGCTTGGGTGTGTGATGTTGGTGGGGAAGGAGTCTCTTTCTCCCTCTCCTACTCATGGCTCTGAGATTTGGGTTGGGGTGTGCTGGACATGCACAGAGAAATCTTGCCTCGGTTAAAAGAAGTAGGAATGGTTCCCATAAACAATCAACTGCCTCCACAATTGGTTGCAATAGTGTTTATCTGGTGAGCAAGTTCATGGCATCAGAGGGTGGTTTATTGTAGACATTTGACTCTTCATTGCTCCTGGAAGGACCGAGAGATTTCTGTACATCCATGTATATGTCTGCGTATGTACTTAATATGCTTCAGGCAGTATGGATTTATTTTCAATGAGAATGATGGGAGTGGATTTCCAGCCACATTTTATTCTAAGCTTATTTGTGTTTGCTTGATTGTGTATATCACGTTTGGCTAGACTGAAACATTTTTATCCTTTTGACAATTTTGATGTCTTCTCAGCTGGCTTGAGATAAGTCAACAAATTAGATATATGAGCCTTCTTAGCAATGCACCTTAGCTCCATTAGCAAATATGAGAAGTGATCCATTCTTGTTGACAGCTTATCTCCATAAAAAGTAACTGTGATGATGGAGGTCACCTCTGGAGCCCACCACCATAGAATCCTCCAAGAGATATTGCCCCATTTAAAACATGGGTTTTAGCCCTACCGGTTTGGCTCAGTGGATAGAGCTTCGGTCTGCGGACTGAAGGGTCCCCAGTGCCCAGGTTGTGGGGTTGATCCCCAGTAGGGGGTGTGCAGCAGGCAGCCGATCAATGATTCTCTCTCATCATTGATGTTTCCCTCTCCCTCTCCCTCTCTGTCTCCCTTCCTCTCTGAAATCAATAAAAATATATTTAAAAAATAAAACATGGGTTTTATAAGTATTATTAATAAGTGAACAGTATTTCCCACACAGACATCATTTATAAGATGCTATTGCAACAGATCACAAAAGTATATCACGGGATAGCTGATTGAAGGGCCATATATGTGGCCTGATTGATGTGCTGATTTTCTGTGATAAATTAAAATGTTTTTCCTTTCTCTCCCTAATGGCCTCAGCTATTTGAGCCCACAGAATGTGGAAATGGATACGTAGAAGCTGGGGAGGAATGTGATTGTGGTTTCCATGTGGTAGGTATAAGAGTTCTTTTTTACCTGCAGCACAGCACCTACACAGAGCAAACACGAATAGCATTAGTGAGACGCCTGCAATATCATTCACTGTGGTCTCACTGCCTTTCTTTCTGATCTTGCTCATCAATGCTTAATCCCAGCTCAGACACAGCATTAGAATTAATCATGTCCTTATGGCCCTGTCTGAGAAAACCTCGTGGATCCTTCTAATCAAATTCCCTACCTCTTAAAAATTCATAGTTCACAGTTACCCCAGACAGGTTTTACCAAATCACGAAACAGTCTTTCTGCGTTGTGTATTATTTTTGTCTTTATAAAACTAGATTGAGTATTCAGAATGTCATAGAGCTAGCCAAGGGTGGGATGCCCGCTAAGGAATAAGGTAACATTTGAGTAGAGAAGCCCTTTCATAGAAGATCATGCTTTGTTGAGATATATGGCAGGAAGAACTCTGTCATTGTCCAAGTGATTAATTCTTTCCTGAAGTATTTGCTTACTATTGTATGAATCCCCTCGTCTGGATTATGCCTAAGTCATACGTGGAAAGAATGTTGAATGGACCAGTGGGGAAGTGTCCTGACTTTCTCACGTGAAGTGCTTTTTCTAGGAATGCTATGGTTTGTGCTGTAAGAAGTGCTCTCTCTCCAATGGGGCCCACTGCAGCGATGGGCCCTGCTGCAACAATACCTCATGTCTGGTGAGTTTCCTGACAGCTTCATCATTCTTTTCATTGACATATGGGCCAAATATCTCAATGTATACATTTAAAAAATGTAGTCCTTCTAAAATAAACATTAAGAGTTGCCCTGTTAACGCAGATGAAAACCAGGTTAGATGGTTGAATAGAAGAGGGACAGTTCCTGTGGTCTTTTTATTTTAGACTCTGAGCATAAAAGCTAGTGCTCATAGTTTTACACTTGGCTTTTTAAATTCCCTACCAAGGCAAAAAAGCTAGATAAGGAAGTCATGTATGAATGTATGTCTACTATGTGTGTAGACACATAGTTACTTCTACCTATAGAGACCAGTTAACTTTTAAAAAGTCCTTTAAAAAATATTTTCTTTTCTCATCTATAAAAACCTCTAATATTCATTTTACCTATAGAATTACATAATTTGATCATTTTATTCAATATTAATGGGTATTATACTGCCGGGGTCCAGCCCCAGCGGTCCAGGGGTTCTCAGAGGTGTGGATGGAATCGGCAAAGAATGTTTTACACAGAGACAGTATTCAGAACTCTCTAGCTCTCTTCAGTCTCCGTGGATCTTCCTGTGCCTGGCTGAGGCCACAGAGAAAGATCCTGAGGCAAACTGAGCCTTTATTTTATAGTCAGAGGTAAACAAGGTAGTGGTTACCAAAGTTACACTGTTCTTGTGAGTTTCACTTGTTTACACTGTTTGTGAGTTTCACTTGTTTTTGTTCTTGCTCTTGCTGCACTTCCCTCAGCCCATTAGCTTCCCAGATAAGACCTAGGGAGCGTTATTAGGTGAAGCCTAATTATGCTTAAGAGGACTATGCCCTCTAAGCTGGGACTTGTTTGTGACTTTGCCAACAGGTCAGGCCGAGGTTTAACCCTATGGCGGCTCCCCACAGTATACATATGGTATTCTAGAAGATTCCAGCTTAGTTTATACTCACCTTATGTCCCCTACCAGGTTATAAGTTGCTTGAAGGTAATTCCTTAATCTTTTACTTATCCCCAATCAGACCAACCAAATGCCTTGTATACAGTAGGCATCCACTGGTGTTACTGAAGGGAACCATTGACATTTGATTGTATATATTTAGTTAAAGCAAGATTAACATCCAAGTTCATAAAGTTAATTAGTAAACATTGGGTGGATACATAAACCTCCAGAGAAATCTTAAATGTTTGTATTTTAGTGTTTTGTCGCTCTTTTGTCTCTAGCCACACCAGTGTTTCTTCTTTACATAGTTGCCATTACATTGTTTTTTAAAAATAATACTCTGAGACAGTGGGTTTTGAAATCCAAACATTTACTGTCTTGGTTAATGATTCATATTTACTACAAAGAGTGAGAACTGGGCCTTGCCTTCATTCTGCACCTACCTTGCTAATTCATACAAAGAGTTTGGTGATGGTTGTGAGAGAGTACCAGAATTACTGGTGAACATCAGAATGCTAACTCTAAGAAAGGTTAATTAATACTAGCTCCTAACATTGGATTTCAATTTGCAGTTTCAGCCAAGAGGATATGAATGTCGGGATGCTGTGAATGGGTGTGATATTACCGAGTACTGTACTGGGGACTCGGGCCAGGTATGGCAAACTGAGGTTTAGGTAATACATTTTACGTGTAAATGCACATTTTAAAGCTTTCCCTTTGGATTACATGTGTGAATATGCTTTGGCCCCTTTGTTTTTTGTTTTGTTTTCTAGTAGTTTTCCAGCCTGCCTTTATTTTAGGAATCTCTTTTTCTTCCAAGTTTCCTTTTCATAATTAGTTCCCTTTATATGGTTTATACCCAACTAATTGATTCTTCTTTCTTGGTCCCCACATCGAAAACACTAATGAAGCACTAATGTACTGTTTACAAACATTTTTTAAGCCACAAAACCCCCTTTTTTTTAAGAAAAAAAACCACAAAATTTTGGATGGGAGCCCAAGATAGAAAGCAGGAAGCAAGCAGCACTGCTCTGGGTGAAACGGGACTGGGAGCAGGAGTCCTGCCCTCTCCGCTCTGTACCTGTCTGGTGGCGTGGCCGATGTGCTTTGGCGTGATCGTCTCACATTAAAATTATTATAACATATAATTAATGTTGACCTGTAGCATTCCTTCTTTATGTAATCTGTATGCGTTTAAACATTTATGTTATGTTATCCCAAGTCTTTATTTGTCATTCGTATGAACATTTTTTGAGCACCTACCATATGGCAAGCACCGCTGTAAAAGTTGGGATGTGAGAGGGGTCACAATGGACAAGGGCTTGCTCTTCTGGAGCTCACATTCTGCTCAGTGGAGAAAGGCAAGTGAGTGAACAAAAATACCAGCGGTGGTAAGAGCTAAGCATAAAATAAGGCGATGTGCAAAAGCCGAGGGAGTGGGGGTTTGAGGTGGAGTGGTCGGGTATATTTTCTTGGAGGGGTAGGCATTTAAGTAGAAACAGCTAAGAAGGAGCTTGGCAGAAAGCAGCAGGTACAGGAGCTTGGCTTCTTCAAGAAAAGGAAAAGAGAGGAGATGCGTGGGAACATTCAGAGAGGAAGCCAGGAATCAGGACAGGTAGGAACTTGGTAAGAACTCTAGATTTCACTGGACCTTCATATTCATTCTGACATCACTTAAAAGCATTTTCCCACACCATGACATATTTATTACATAAAAATCCTTTTTATGGTTGCATGAGAGCCTGTCATGTGTATTAGTTGATTTCTGTATCCAGTGGTGGATTTTTATAGATTTTTAGCAACTTTTTAGAATTAGAATTAATATGACAGTGAATACCTTTATGCATTTTTAAGACTGTTCTCTTGTTGGGAGTTAGCTAATTAGGGTAAGTTTCTAGGAGTAGAGTTACCTATTGCCAGGTTTTGTGCTATCCAAGGAGCTACCAATAAATAGAGTACAGATGGAGGCCAGGATATAATTTTTGTTATTGAAAATGGCCAAGATAAAAGTCATAGCTTAGTGTGAGGCTAAATGGGCCTCTTTATAGATCCCAGGTTCAGGCTGTAGAACAGGTAATTGAGAAAATTGGGTCTGGAGTGGCCTCTCCCTGCAGAGCCTGGCCTTGCCTTACATGTCATGTAGAGAGAGTATGATTTATGTGAGTAGGCAAGAGAGAATGGCAGAACTGAGCCAGAATGCCCAATTATTCCTCTCTAGTTTATCAACCAGTCAACCACTTTACCTGCTGGGGAAGAAGTGAATAAAGAGCAGAGAGTGGCTGGAGTTACACTGAATTTCCTTCACTGAAAGGACTAGAGGAGAGGGAAACAAAGGTTCCTAATTGATCTCTTTGAAAGTTCTCGATATCTATCATGAGACTCCATCCAAATGGACCCTTGTAAGGATACGGTACACTTGAAATGTGTTCAGGCTGTTCTTTTATGATTTTTCTGTGCATCTCTTTTTCCCCCCTTGTATATTTTTGTTGATTTCAGAGAGGAAGGGAGAGGGACAGAGAGATAGGAACGTCAATGCTGAGAGAGAAACATTGATTGGCTGCCTCCTGCACGCCCCACACTGGCGATCGAGCCCAAAACCCAGGCTCTATGCTCTGACCTGGAATTGAGCCATGACCTCCTGGTTCATAAGTCAATGCTCAACCACTGAGCTGGACTGGCCGGGCTGTATCTCTTTCTTATATTTAAAATTGTAAATCGGATTCTTTGTAATTTTCTTATAATATAGTGGCAAAGTATAAGAATTGTAGACTCTATGTTTCATGGCAAGTGTACTGACATTCATGAATTACTGTTCCACTGTGTTATATTTTTAGTTTTATAGGGTAATACTATTTTTATACCCATCATATATTGTTTTGGGTCTGTATTATATTGTATTTAGCTCTTTTAGAAGTATGTTTTTTTCCATTTCAACTTTAAATTCCTGAATTGCCATAGAATTTACCAGAAATAAGGCTTTTATAATAAGGGTTCTGTGGTCAACTGAATATTTTGTCTAAATTTTTTAAAATGTTCTTTTTAATCTCATTTATCTAAGGTAAAAACTGTACTGTTAATTTCTCAGTGGCATATTAGAATAACATGTTCTATTACTAGTAATTTCTTTATATGACCAGAATGAACCTGAAATAGATTACTGGCGGAAAAAGAGTTAAATGCCTTCAAATTCTTTGGCTTTGTAAGAGGCAGAAAACTTTGAATTTAATTGATATTAATAATGATTAAGAAATGGTGACCTCTGAGAATTTCTGCATCTCTGCAAATCAGTATTGTTGGCAACATTATGACTTTATCTCTTTTATCTCATAGTATGTTTTTGCTTAATTTTGATATTAGCATTAACTGATGCCTTTGAGCTACTTTTATTTATATTTATTTATTGAGTTTAGAGAGAGAGAGAGGGGAAGAGAAAGAGAGAGAGACTGATTTGTTATTCCACGTATGCATTCATTGGTTGATTCTTGTATGTGCCCGACTGGGGATCAAATCCGCAACCTTGGTGTATCAGAATGACGCTCCAACCAACTGAGCACCCAGCCAAGGCCTGAGCTGCCTTCTAAGTTCACAATTTATAACAGAATAAACAATACTGAGAGAACTCCTTGGCAAACAATACTGGATGAGATGACAAAGATGTTTTAGGAAGATGTGGGAAATGTGTTTTTGTTAGCACCATGAAGTAGGTCATCCAAATGGGTAGTAGAACACAATTTAAAATAAGCCCATTTAACTGCTACTGCGCTGTTGACGTCTGCCTCAAGTGGACCCTCTTGTACAGCATAACGGTTGGGGCTGGCACGGCCTTTAGAGACCAGAGCTGTACCAAAGGCGTATTACTGCATGGGCAGCATAAAGTATACAGATTTATGGTTCTTCTGCTTTAAATGTCTCCAGAGACCATAAAACATTCCATAATTTCCCTTGTTAAACGTTTCAACAATAAGCAACTGGCTTTTATTAGCTTAAACTGAACATAAATTGATTGGAAATCTTCTTGCATGTAGCTATGACAGCTTATAATTAGGTGAAGTAAAGCGTTTTTTTTTTTCATTAGTAAAGAATTCTGTGAGTTCTTTCCTATTGAAACATCACAAATATGACAAATTAATTTTAGACCCCGATGTGCCTATTATGGTAGCGGCATTTCTTTTTCATTTTTGCTCAGTGTGGTTGTATTTGTCTTGAAGTAAGTGAATAATTAATGTTAGTTGATTAATACGATAATGACTGTGTTTTGAGTGGATTTGGATGAATGAAAGAGACCACAGGGATCTCTGTTTTTTGTGTAGTTGGCCCAGTATGCCAGGTTTGGGGGCTGGTAATTATATCCTTTGAATAGTCACCATCAGGTTGAATGAAAAGCTGTGGTGAATAAAAGCTAATATAAGAGTCAGATAATCTGTAGAAAGATGTAGAATCCAAGCACTTGATCTCAACGTGCTCCTTAATAAGTTACTGCTTCTTAGCAATTCTAAATTAGTTCTCTTAGCTTTCTGTAGTGAACTTGACAAACAGCTTGATATGTACAATCAAGCTGAATAGAATAACTTAATTGTATCTGTATGGCTGTTCATTTGTTTTCCCAGTCAGCCAATTGTGATTGAGCATCTACTCAATAATAATTGAGCCCAGTTTTGTTCTAGGCACCAGGGAGGCAGCAGGGAACAAAACACAAAATCCGTGTCTTCATGGAGCTCTCATTAGGATAGGACAATAGACATACAAATAAGTAAAATACATTAAGTCCTCACCTAACATCGTCGATAGGTTCTTGGAAACTGTGACTTTAAGTGTAAGGATGTCTAACAACCAAGTTTACCAGAGGCTAAATGATATGAACAAGAGCTAAGTTCCTATGGCCCTTTTCTTGTCACAGAAACATCAGCAGACTCTTTCCCTCTCCCCCCGTGGGAGTCTGTACTTGTTCTTCAATAAGTTTCCACCTTTGCTATAAAAAAAAAGAGAAAGAAACATCAGCAAACTTTTAAGGACCCCAAACACTTCTTATGTTAAACATTAAAATAAATGTGAGCTATACATATATTTAAGAAAGATGAACAAAAATAAGTCAGATCATTCTTTTCCAACCCACTTATTGCAGTTCAAGGTCATGGTTGCCCAGAGACTGTTCCAACCCTGGTCATGCAAAGTGGGAACTCTTCTGGGTGGGACACCCTCCCATTTGGGGCACACTCACACCCACCCACACTTACACCTGGACACATCGCTGGGATATGGGAAGAAACCCATGTGCACATCTTAGACAGGCCCATCACCCATGTGCACATCTTTGGGGTGTGGGGAGAAACTGGTGTCCCTGCAGAAAACTCATGCAGACACAGGCAGAACCTGCTAAGTCCACACAGACAGTGGCCCTGGCTGGGAATCAGTTTTTATTTTTCTTTCTCATTAATGTTATAACAAAACAACGTTATTCGGGGACCTGCTGTATATGAATAGTCAGTTGCTAATAAATATGATGGAGAAGAAAAACAAAACCAAAGAGGGAATGGGGAGCAGAGAATGCCAGCTTGGGAGGGGCTACAGTTCTGAAGAGCATGGTCAGGGAAGGCTTCTCTGAGATGCTGATACTTGAGCAAAGCCCTAAAGAAGATGAAAGAGCAAGACATGCAGAAATCGGGGGCAGGGGTGGGTGGTGGGCATGGGAAGGAAGAGCCAGGGCAAAGGCCACAGGGTGGCAGGATGCCCAGCACCTTCACGTGGTGTGAGATCAGTCATGGCAGAGAGTAGGAATGAGGTCAGGGAGACGATGGGGCCAGTGCAGCATAGGAGCAGATCGTGCTGAACTTGGAAAGCCATGAGTAAGTTGGAAAGCCACTGAGCAGAGAGGTGACACGGTCTGGTTCATGTTTTTTCAAGGGACACTCTGGTAGCTGTATAGGCTACAAGGTGAGGAGGGCGAGGAGGGGAATTGGTTGGAGACTGTTGCATAATCCAAGTGAGAGATGGTGAAGGGATGGACCAGGCGTTTTCCAGTGGAGATGGAGAAAAGTGGTCAGGCAGTAATGACATTTTAAAGGTAGGGCTATGGGGATTTTTTGATGGACTAGGAAAAGTGAAGTAGAGGATGCCTCCAATTATTTGAGGCCTGAATAATTGAAAGAGTGTGACTGTCCTTTACTGAGGAGGTGACAGACACCGAGGGAGGTCTTGGTGCATACTGCTGTGTTTCTTACTCACTTGCCACACCTGTGTATTTTTTTTCCTTTTCCTTTTCATATTTGCTTTGAACACTGTGGTGGAGGCTTTGAATTGAATTTTTTTTTTTTTTTTATCTCTCTTACATGTGGTAAACACTTCAACTTAATGTATTCAGGGTAATTTGGGGTGAAAAATGAAGTGTACTTTAAAATAATTATTTGATAGATAGACCTGAAAAAAGAAATTTCCATCACATCAGGATTGTTCTAGTAACAGGGCTGTGGTTCGAGAGGTCAGAAATGTAATGGAGATTCGTCACTTACACTGAGCTGAAAGGCAGGATATTTTTTTTCTTTTTTAATAATGTGGCCTCGAGGTGAGCCTCGTGGGTGTCAGATATAGATTTGACATTTTTCACAGCGCTGAGCCAGTCTGTAAATTAGTTCCTGAATGTGTCCACTCCTACATCACAAGATGACTCATATCCTGTCATTGTCCATTTTAATCCCTTCTACTTTACACTCTGTAGGCAAGTGAATGTAAGTTATTATTCTAGTCTATTTCGTGGAAAACAGAGAAACAAAAAAACACCCACTGCGTGGACCTAATTTATTTATTTTTACCAATAATGGGAGAATTAATTTGGATAATCTACTTAAGGAGTTAGTCATATTTTTTTAAGCTTTTCCAATTATATGTTCACCATGCTTGATTTTTTTTGATGTTTTTACATATTGTGCACATAACCTGAAAGAACTTAACATGATGAGCATTAACTAAAAAGATTATATTTTTTAGTGCCCACCAAATCTTCATAAACAAGATGGATATGCATGCAATCAAAATCAGGTATGCTGGGATATACATTTTAAGTGTTAAATTTAAAAAGATTAGTTTGTTTTGTTGTTTTTTAAAATAAATACAAGTTTGAAAGGAAATTACAACTCAAACAATAATAGATTATTATAGTGGTCCTCTGATCCGGAGTTGCTTTGTGTCGTACCAAATACTAACTGTATTATATTTAACTCTGATGACAAATTGTCGAGATTAAGGGCAAGAATTAGGAATCCAATTTATTGAGTTGTGACTATCTTCAATACCAGTGTGTTTATTTTGGAAAAAATATGGCAATCTGTTATAACGTGCCCCCCCCCCCCCCCCCCGCGCCAAAGCCATGTTTTAACCTAACTATTCACAAACAAAAGAAGCTAAAAATCATCTTGGTATCACCCAAAGAAATTTAGCAATTGCTGTTTACCATAAAGTTTTATATTTTAGATGATTAGATTTAAAGAGCTGTACTATGAGGTCTGTTCTTAGTTTTAGATTTTAGCTGTCTGTTATTCTTCTGCTTGTCTGAAGATGTGTGTGCTTCTCATTTTCATTGTGAAAATTTGGGGGGAAACAGACCTGGCTCCGTGTGCCTCATAAGGTGTGTGTTCTTGTCCTCAGGGTCGCTGCTACAGTGGGGAGTGCAAGACCCGGGACAACCAATGTCAGTACATCTGGGGAACAAGTAGGTTGCGTTTTCCTGTTGATGCTCACACACAGGTTTCTCTTCACATTGTCCTTCTCTGCCTGCCTTGCTGAGAGAGATGTGTAGCTTGGAGTGAGGTTTTAAAGAAATCTAGAAAAGGGTGAAATAAAGAGAACTGTGAATCTTAGTCACAGAACCACAGGAACGTCTGCTGCAGTTGGGGGCTTGTCATGAGAGCCCGAAAGCGCCATTCAGTGCTGGTGGCGGTAAGAGAAGGGACAGTATATCCATGCAGAGATCGGGCTGAGTGCAGGGTCACGTCGTTACCCAGCCACTTGCATAACTTACTTTGTATCTTGGATTTAACATTTATCCCCCGCCAAACTTGGCCGTCTGTTCTTTTACCCCAGGAAAGTTCCAGCCCTTGTTTTTTAAATTCTGTAATTTTCTGTCCTTAGTGTGAACTGAAGAAATGCAGGTACTGCCCAAAGTGCAGACAGATAGAGATTCGGGTACATGGTCATGATTCTCGGCACGTTCCCTGCCTCTTAATTCACGTGATACCGTCCTGACATTTGCAGCGCCTCCCAGTGAACTTTGCGTAATGAGGGCCAGACCAGAGGAGAGAGAAAAGGGTCTGCTCTGCTGGCTCAGGCTGGTCACCCCCAAAGATACAGAAAGCACACAAAAGGGGGATAGAGGCCTTGCACAGTGCTTCCAGTGTTTGGCAAATATCATCTAGTTGGAAGATATACTTTTGGGGCTTCAGTTTTGACAGAGGAAAGGTAATAGAGGCATATTTCTTTAAAAAAAAAAAGGTTTAAATGTTAAAATCCGATTTTCAAGGTAAAATTTCAGTTGGCTAAGACTTTGTGGTATCTCCTAATATTAATATAAAGCAAGACTAAGTGCGTTTATATGTTTTCTATGTGTCACTTCACTAATTTCTGCTGATGATCGTTCCAACTTCCTCCCCTCAAACCTGCCAGCAAGAATTGGGAATACATTTGTTTCTCAAGTTAAAAGTAGCAGTGTATTGGAGCTGTCTTGCATTAGCTTGTGAGAGCCAACTGTTAAAATTTTAGGACTTTTAGAAGCCAGTTGACATCACACTGAGACCTTGAAATTAGCCATGTGTCACACCATGGAAATTTACATAATGGTATTTACACCATGGAAGCTGGTAAATGCTACAAATGAGAACTTTTTTTTATTTGTATTTTTTGGAATCAGTTGTCAAACGTTTACCAGCACACAACTGGTTATAGATAACAAAGAGAACTAAAATATTCTCTTGCTCATCTCCAAAAGAGGCTTCGGGGTCCGACAAGTTCTGCTATGAAAAGCTGAACACAGAAGGCACGGAGAAGGGAAACTGTGGGAAGGACGGAGACCGATGGATTCAGTGCAGCAAACAGTGAGTGGTCAGCTTTGGGGCGTGATGAGCGGGTGGAAAGGCCTGGTTCAAATGTGAAATGGCACAACATAAATGTCACTGATTTTTTATGTCAGTTATTTCAAATTTTAAAGTATGCATATAAAAATATGTTAGTTGGATGTGAGGGCGATCTGGCTGCGACATCTGTCACCCCATTGATCGCCAGGGTTGATTCGGCTGATCAGGCTGGCTAGGCGGGTGTCCCCCTCCTCCCTCACCGATCCATGTGCGTCGCTCCCGAAGCTGTGCCTTGCCCCCAGAAGAGAGGACCGGTCTTTGGTCAAGGGTATACGAGTAGCTGCGCTCCCCTGCTAGAACCTCCAAATAAGCTCTTAAAAATATGTTAGTATATCTGTACTGGTGCAGCCACTATGGAAGACAGTATGGAGTTTCCTCAAAAAACTAAAATTGGAACTCCCATTTGACCCCATGATCCCACTTCTAGGAATATATCCCAAGAAACCAGAAACACCAATCAGAAAGGATATATGCACCCCTATGTTCATAGCAGCACAATTCACCACAGCTAAGATCTGGAAACAGCCTAAGTGCCCATCAGTAGATGAATGGATTAGAAAACTGTGGTACATCTACACGATGGAATACTATGCTGCTGTAAAAAAGAAGGAACTCTTACCATTTGCAATGGCATGGATGGAACTGGAGAGCATTATGCTAAGTGAAATAAGCCAATGAAGGAAAAATACCACATGATCTCACTCATTCATGGATAATAAAGACCATTATAAGCTTATGAACAAAAATAGATACAGAGGCAGAGCTGCCTCAAACAGACTGTCAAACTGCAGTGGGAAGGCCGGGGAGGGTAGGGGGGCAATAGGTGGGGGGTAAGAGATCAACCGAAGGACTTACATGCATGCATATAAGCATAACCAATGGACATAAGACACTGGGGGTAGGGGAGGCCAGGGGATTGTCAAGGGCGGGGGGGAAAGGGAGACATATGTAATAACCTTTGTAATACTTTAAGCAATAAAAAAAATACTTTAAGCAAAAACAATATATATATATATAAAAAACATGTTAGTATATCTGGAAGCAAATGGCTACGGACTAACCTTTCTATGCACAGACTCACATTATTTCTGTAAAATTCAGAATATTTCTCATAGACTTTATTTTACCTGATGCTTGTTTTGAAGAGATATGTTGCCAATGGATAACTAATTAATATTAGTATATACAGAGTTCTATAAGCAACATATGTAGGCCTTATATATTGTTGCTGGTCATTTCATGAGTACAGTACCATTTGATTTAATTAAAGATCTAATGCCTGTATCAGAGATTTTTAAAAAATATTTTTATTGATTTCAGAGAGGAAGGGAGAGGGAGAGAGAAATAGAAACATCAATGATGAGAGAGAATCATGAATTGGCTGCCTCCTGCACGCCCCCTACTGGGGATTGAGCCCGCAACCCACGCATGTGCCCTTGACTGGAATCAAACCTGGGACCTTTCAGTCCACAGGCCAATGCTCTGTCCACTGAGCCAAACTGGTCAGGGCTGTATCAGAGATTTTTATTCCCTTCTGAAAAGCATCTATTCACTGCATACTGGAGGCTTCTTTATGAGGAAATGAGATATTTTCAGAGCCCATCAGTGATATTTTCCTCTTGATTAGTTGAGGAAAGTTAATATTATGATTTAATGATTTACTCAATGACATGGATCTATGGGACCTTTAGGTTATAGGCCAAAGATCCTCTGTTTTCCTTCCATAACAATGAGGATTCTTCCCCCAATTTTGAAGCAGAGCAAGGATTTAATGGAAGTTTTTATTTCTCTAGTTAATGGTTTCTATGTGGAACTTTACGAAATTTTGCAGTTCCATCTAGTTTTTGGTGATGGATCAGGCTTTACAAGACAACAAGTCTTTGACGATAATTTCTTAAAAATTAACCCAAGATATAGGATGGAGCTTCCCACTGGATGTCTCACGAGTAGGGTACAGATAATGTACAGTGTTCAGCCCTTGAGGTGCCAGGGAGTAGGAGGAAGTGGGGCCCAAAGTTGTCAAAGTCCACGGGGTGGGAAACCTCTAGATTAGATCAGGTTCATTCATTAACTCAATGTCCTAGACAGATCTGATCATTTCTCTGTCTTCAAAAAGTTTTAGAGGTATTGGATTAGATCATTGTAAAATACAGCTTTTGAATATCTGGTAACAGAATATCCAACCACCACTGAGTTAAAGAAAAGCAGTGTTTTCTGAAATTTTTAACAATTGTGAAATATAACAGATAAACAGGAAAGTGAATAATACACAAATATACATTCAAATAATTAGGGAGTGACCTCCCATGTAACCTCTACCTGGATCAAGATATAGAACATTGAAGCATCCCAGAAAATTATTTTCCCTTCATTTTGACTTTATGGCAGTCTCTTTTTTTTTTTTTGCTTTTCTTTAGAGTTTTACTTCCTAACTTTTCATCCTTAAGGATATATTTTACCAAAAGTTTTGGTAAAATATATTTTATAGAAAAGGAATCATAATTTCTGTGTTATTTTGTATTTGGCTTAAGTTCATTTTTTGTTCCATTTGTTTGACTTTCATTCATATTCATAGTAATATACCATAGTTTATTCCTACATTCAACATTAATGGACATTTAGATGTTTCCATGCTTTGGCTATTAGGAACCATGCTGCTGGGAACATTCTTTACAGGTAACTTGGTGCACATTTGGACACATTGATCTAAGTCCTGTACCTAGAACAAAACTACAAAATCATGGGATGTATATTTTCAGTGCCACCAAGTGGTGTCACACTATTTTCTTTTTCAGTGGTTGTACTAGTAAACCCTACCAGCAGTGAGAATTTGTAACAACATTCTCACCAATGCTTGGTGTTACAGGCTTTCTACTTTTATCTATTCTGGTGGGTGTGAACTGCTATATGGTTGTGGTTTTAATTTGCATTTCCCTGATTACAGATGGAATTTAGTACATTTTCATGCATGTTTTAGACAATGGACTTCCTTTTTGTGTGTGTGTGTAATGCTGCTTCTTAGTCCCCTTTTTTTTAAAAAAGAAATGTATTGTTTACTTAAATAGGCTGCAGGTAGATGCCATCATGGTGGGTGAGTCACTTAATAATGTCACTAAGGACCCAGATGACTCTGCCCCTCTGCTCTGTAATCCGTTGCATGTTGTGTTTAGATCCTTATGCTTGTGAACTTAATAACTGCAAGTTAGATGTAAAGGCTCTGCATTCAAAGGCAGGAAGCAGGGGTAGGAACAAGGATCCCCCTGTCAGGTAATAACCTTGTATCCAGAAAGCAAATTTTCTCAGCAGCTACCTAGCCCGCTTTTTCTCACTTCTCGACACCCAGGGGCCACTTTTAGCTCTGGGAGGAAAAGAAGGAGGATGGCTAGGAAAGAGGTACAGGAAGTGGAAGTGCCTGGCTAGCTTAGATGCCAGTCATGACTTCTTTCAGGGCTGAGCACTTTGCTTCCCCCAAACAAATTTGTGATCTGCTAGTTAAAAAGGAGGGGCGTCATAGGCAACCAACAATAACTGATTGAGTGTTTTTGTTTAGAAAGAAAGATAATTGTTGTGCCCAGATTTCAAGATTCCCAAGAACCCACAGGGAGCCAGCGAGTCCGATGCAAAAGCAAAGAGTCCCTCATTTCGAACTAGTTCGGCTCCCCGACCACACTCACCGATGCAACGGTAGCCCAGTGGCCGAGAGAGAGCGAGGCCTGATGGGATTGTGGGTTTTATAGTAAGGGCAGGGGAGGGGACTGTGGGCCCTGCCGATTGGCCAGGCGCGAGCCGGGTCTTGTTACACAGGATGTGGTCATCTCTATGGCGCGCATGTCCCTTGATTGTCATTAGTTAGTTTAAAGAAATCCTGGGCGTGGCCAGCAGGGGCCTGGGCTTCCGGGAAGAAGGCACTCTCCTGAGCACATGGCGGCCGCCCCAAAAATGGAGGACCCAGGGCAAGATGGAGGGCGCAGTCCTAGCACCCCCCCCCCCCCCCCCCCCCCCGGGGCGAGCTGAGCCCGGGCTCCAGGGGCCAGTCCGGTTGCCGGGGGTCCAGCAGATCGACCAGTTCCAGCCCAGACAGGAAGTCCACATCCTCTGTCATGTTCCCGGGGCCGCCGGTGGTCGCCTCCTCCTCCATCTCCTCGGGCGAGGGCACACGCCCCGCCGCCGCCGCTGCTGTCGCGTGGGTCCAGTCCGGGGGCGGCGGGCGGGTGGCGGCCTGCGCCGGGCTCCCGCCGTGGGCTGGGGAGTCGGTGCCCGAGGCCGCCAGCAGCGTGGTCAGGCTGTGCCTCATGGGACCCGGCGGCCGGCCCACGTAGGCCCCGCGACGACTCGCCCTTTCACTAATATTTTCATATTTCAAATACATATGGACTGAGTAGTTTTGATTATTTTGAGCATTATTTCTCTTGTCTTATTCTGTCTTTTTTAAAATTTTTTAACCTGTTTAGTGATGTGTTCTGTGGATTTTTACTCTGTACCAACCTTACCCGAGCTCCACGTATTGGTCAACTTCAGGGAGAGATCATCCCAACTTCCTTTTATCATCAAGGCCGGGTGATTGACTGCAGGTAACATATTAAATATTGGAAAAACCTAAAGAAACCTGAGAATTACAAATTTAGAAACATCAAGTGAAGTTTTTCTATTTCTTACAAGAGGAATGTTGAGATTTTTATTATCACCTTTCATGTTAAGAGTCATTTAAAAACAAAGTTGTATCTAGATTTGCAAATTACATTTGTTCAAAAATTGTACCAGTTATTAGTAGGAGACATTCTTTGTAATTATAATCTGAAGAGTAGAATTATGTTATCTATTTTGACCCACGATTAAAGCTTTAAGCATTTAAGCATTGGAATATGTCACTATTTGAAACACTGTGTGTGTTTTATTTTTTATGACCAAAACAAGTTTAAGCTTTACTTCATTCAGATGTGTCTGATTTAGAAGATGGTTTAATAAGTACTTAATCACTTATAGAAAATATTTATTAAAATATTATTTATAGCTAGAGACAAATGTTTTCTATCCAATTACCTATGAGCACAAGACACAGAAAATATGAGAATTATTTTTAAAGCCAGGGAGTCATATTATATTCCAAATAATCCTTGTCCCTTCAGAGTAGTCATAATTCTAAGTTGCTGTGCTCTCATTCAAATGGTACTGAAAAAGTTGCTTAAAACACTTTTGGGATCCCCCCTACAGAATTGCCCTCAGCATCTGCAAACTTTTATCCTTGGTATCCCCAGAGGGGCAAACCTTCATCTTATGTGAGTGAATATAAGATCAGGAAACACCCCAAAATTTTTTTGAAAAATTTTAATAAATAGATGGGTAACCAAATTGCATAATGCTGTCTTGATCAAATGATGGCTGTTTTTCTGTCTTTTAAATGGCTCGGAAGGCAATTCTAACAGGGTCTTAGACAGCAAGATCCTTCCTGGCATAAGTTTGTTGTCTTCAACTATAGTTTGATGCACACAAGCTTCCTTTGACTCTGTAAGTTTTCACATGTCTCTAGATATAACAGCCTTGTTAAATTATATTGTTATATTCTAAGTTGTTATATTTGTAAACATTTCAGCAAGGTACTCTGTTAGTAATTATAGCATTGACTATTATTCAAATTCAACTTGTTTCTAACTTTAAAATTTTATGAGTCAGTATCAGTAGAGAGGAACCAGTTTACTTTTTCAATCATGAACAATCCAATCCTCTAAAGTAATAATAATTTCCAAAATGTTTTTCATTTTGCTATTTTTTGCTCAACTTCTGCCTTTTTGTACTGTGACGCATCTGAAAGCCTTGGAGACCTAATGATAAGATTACCTCTCTTATTCACTCCCCTTGTCTCAATGTTGGTCTTGAAAACAAGTGAAGGTTTCGAATACACTTGACATATTTTTCCCTGTGACCTGTGGTATAATAGTGATAAGGAAAGGTAGCTTTCTTTATCATGCTCTTTTATTAAGGAGAGGTGGGGAAAGGAGGAAAGGAAAAGGGGAGAAATGCTAGGAGAAATCCATGTCCAATCACAGCCTCTTCAGCGTCATAAAGAGCAATAGCCTTGTGTGGTGCTAATGACGGTATGAATATCTTTCTCCTCCTAGTGGTGCTCATGTGGTTTTAGATGATGACACAGATGTGGGCTACGTGGAAGATGGAACTCCATGTGGCCCATCGATGATGTGCTTAGATCGGAAGTGCCTACAGATTCAGGCCCTGAATATGAGCAGCTGCCCACTCGATTCCAAGGGTAAAGTCTGCTCAGGCCATGGGGTAAGTAGGCATCAGTGTTCCAGCTCAAACTTTCATGATCTGGCATCCTTAAAGTTCACAGTGGTTATGTTTCCAGTGCAGCCACTCTCCCTCTGAGGCTGTTGCCAATATCTATGCATTGACTATGATTCTTTTCTTTTTCTTTTTTTGAAAAATACTGTAGTTTTTTATTGATTTCAGGGAGAGGAGGGAAGTGGGATAGAGAGATAGAAACATCAGTGAGAGAGAAACTTCATCAGTCGGCTACCACTGGCATGTCCCCTACTGTGGAATGAGCCTGACTGGGAATCGAACTGTGACCTTCTGGTTCATGGGTCAGTGCTCACCCACTGAGCCACACCAGCTGGGCTATGATTATTTTCTTAGTGCACTTGTCTGCTAACAGTAACACCGTATGCATTGATATGGTGTATTTTATTGTTTCTTTTATCACTGGCTATTTTTATTCACCACATTCTCTAGATATAGTTTAACGGCTAAGGAGCCAGATGAAAATGGATAAGATTTTCTGTAAAGACCCAATGTGATTACTTTGTGATTACCATTTGAAATAAGTTAAACCTTTTCAGTAAGTCCCTTCCAGCTACTCAGCATGCATGCTGGCTGTCTATGTATGCCAGGTCATACCAGACTAAAGGTTGGATCACTGGTTCACTGATATAATTCACAGGTTTACAGTTCTGTGGTTATGTTTGCATCATTGCCAGTCAGAGAGCAGATGCTCCCTCTGCCTGCATATATCTTTAATTCTGTGGACAAAGTGTTTGGGCAGACACACCTGGCAAACCTAAGCTGAATATCTAAAACGAATCTTAATAATTATTTAAATTTGGCTTAGTAAAAGAAAAGTATTTCAAAATTTATGCAGACCTCAGAAATGGATAAAAGAAACATGAAGGAACTGAGAGCAATAATATAAAAGGAAGATGCTGGAGTGAAGGTAAAAAGAATCCAAAATATAGGAGCCAAGCAGGTGATGTAGAATCAAACACGATAGAAAGGCCTAAGAAGCATATGCCCAACAATCATGTATCGTTTCAGGTTTGCTTGAACCATAGGCTCACAAAGGAGGCTGTATAGCCTAGTGATCAAGAACATGGATTTGGAGGCGAGAAGGAATCCTGGGTTTGAATCCTGGCTCTGCTTCTTACCCTCCCAGTGACTTTGGGCAAGTCACTTAACCTCTCTCATTTGCCAGGGTGCTAGTGTGAATATAAATGAGATGCTATACATAAAACACTCAGCTTAGGTACCTGGCACCTAGTAAATGAATAAAAGCACTGCACAGACCTTTCATTATTCAGTTACTGCTTTGTAAGCATTATGAAACTTAATGCATTAAAAGGGCCCTTGACTCTCTACTCTCCTTCCCACTTTTTCATCTTGTTAAAAAAAGGTCAAATCCAATCTTGTTCATCATAATCACAGTGTTATAACATTTCAGAAGATTAAAAAGCTTCTTACACTAATAGGCTTAAGTTTGATTTGATCACCTCTAATAATCTGTCTCTGACTGTATTTCACAGGCAGATAAGGGCTTAAACTACTCTGCCTCTAGTTTGCAGATGGTTATTTATTTCATCTAAATGACAAGTCCCTTCCAGCATGCTGCTTGGTCCGCAGGGGATGAGAGAGGAGACAGTCACTTTCAGAGTGTCTTAGCCTGGCCGACAGAGAGAAGATGGTGGGCAGGCAGGGAAGGTGGGAGGGGTGCTGATTTGGCCGGGAAAGTGCCACCAAATGATTTTGGTGTTGAATGTGGTGAGGTCCTGCAATGCACTGGTGATTTATGTCTCATGGTCTTTATCTCTGGCTGTGTCTCTTGAGCCCAGTATCTGTTAATTCCTTGAGTTAAGCATACATGTTTCTAAAATATGGTTCTAGAAACAACTACTTATGAAATAAGCTACATTGTCAGACATTTGTGTACTTAACAATATCAACATGAATAATTAACATTTAATTACAATTATTTTTCTTTTTTTTTTCTTTTTTTGGTAATTCACTGACAAACTACCATTCAACTATTTGACCCATGCATGATTTCCCTTTATCTAATACCTAAAACTGTGGGAGACTTTTAAAAAAATTCCAAATGGCTTTTAAAGTGTCTGCCTGGCCTATGTCTCTTTTACAGTTATCACCAGTATATGCTGCAGCGCGCAGTGAAAATGGCCCATCTCTGTTCTTTGTTCTTCACAGGTGTGTAGTAATGAAGCCACCTGCATCTGTGATTTCACCTGGGCGGGAACAGACTGCAGTATCCGGGATCCAGTGAGGAACCTTCATCCCTCCAAGGATGAAGGACCCAAGGGTTTGTGTGATTTCAGTTTCAATTCCCAGCACACTGAATTCATTGGCATTCATCATATGGAGCCAACAGAACAACTTAATAGATTTGAAAGGAGACCCATAAGAATATCTCTTTAGCCTGTAAAATGTATAGCTCATCTTACTGCAGAATTAAGGACTCTAGTATATCACATTGGAAAAAATATTTGAGTTATCCCTTAGTCTAGAATTGAGATTAGGAAGAAGTAAATATACCAATTTCTTTTCTTTAAACCTCATTCTTTTTTTTTCTTCATAATCACAAAAATTAATCATTTTATAGTTTGGCTAAGCTATGTCAGTTTTCTAACTTAGAAATCTTTTTGGATGAGACTCCGGTCATTCCTCAGTCCTTGAAAAGTGAAATACATGGAAGTTTTCGTCTTCCATGCCGTGTTTTAAGTACACTTTTGATTTAGGAAGAAGTTGGAATTTTTCATGGAACTTAAATTCTTCAAAGAGAACATGAACAATCTGTACCTTTGTTTTAATCAGCCATTACAAGGAGAGAAATTAGAATTTTAGAGTTAGAAGGAGAGACTGAGTGACCAACTAACTACACCACCCTCATTTTGCGGATGAGAGCACCCAGGCCCTGAGGTCAGGAGACATGCTATACTTACCCCAGCCACCAGAGGCAGCGCTGGGACCAGGACCTAGGTGCCCAATATCGGGCCCATTCCTTTCTGTTACGTAATGTTATGATGTGGTCTGTGTCATCCTGAATATGCTAATCACTTTCCCATTATTCTCCCTGTTCCCAACCCGTATGATTTTCAAAGACCAAGAAAAGTCACAGTTGCAATAGGCTTACGGTAGCACTTACAGCACTGTACGTACCTGAGAAACTAAGGAGCCACTAGAATGAATGGTGTATCCCAATGACATTGTACATCAGGTTCTTTCTCATGGTACTGCTAACAGAGTCTTACAAATAACGATCATGCCTTTTTCCTGCAGGTAGGAAAAACACATATAGAAATAGTGTCATTTTGATCTGCTTAGTTTGGGATAAAAGCTCATTCAGAGTCTCTGAATGTCATTATTGCTCACATGGGGAAAATACAACTTCAAAAGCATATGAAGCTCTATAGCCCTCAATTCCTGAAGAGATTTAGGCTGATTCAAGTACACGCTTAACGTTCAGTAATAGTGGGTGTATTAAAATACTTTTCATACATTTGCTTAATATGCCCATGATATTAAAATGCAATAATCATAATCACACCCTCACAGTCTATTTCTGTTCATCTTCTATTACTAAGAAGGAGCCAATTCCACTTTTACATCCAGTCTTTTGTTACTTGGAAACTTAAACAAAAAAATTCTTGGATCCACCTTCAGAAGTTAGATGTAGAGAAGACTTAGACTCTGACAAGAGATGCAGAGGTTCCTTTTTTCCAGGTTTTCTCTCCATAGCATCCTTGTGACTCTCTTAAAGATCTAGCTGCTCTTCCTCCAGGAAAGTATAAAATAAACCTGCCTGCGCAGAGGAGCAGGGTTCAGTTGCCTTAGGCTCTGCCTTTTTCATTAGATAGCGTAAGGGATTATTAACTGCCTGACTCTACTCATTCCTGCATCCGCCCAGACCTAGAAAGCTGAATTGGAGGCATAAAGTGAACAGTTCCATTCTAGAGAAGAAGATACTCACAGCAGTATTTGTTTTGTTTCTTCGTATTTAATGAGGTGCTATTCTACATTATCTTTAAAGACAACCTTTTTGATCATTCAAATAATACATGTTTATTGTAAAAAATTTTGAAAATATAGAAAAGATTTAAAAAAAGTAAAAATCACTCTTCATTCCACAACTCAGAGGTGATCAACAGAACATTCTGGCATATTTTGTTCCTGTTGTATTCCCACCCCCCCATTCTTAATGAAGTCAGTGGAGTCATTAGAGTAAGGGTAACATAACCATGGGTTCTAAAATTGTTAAAATTCTTGTGATCTCTAGTAATCTTCATTAAACTGAAAAAAAAAAGCCAGTAATTGATATATATGAAGAACAGTTATTATTAGATTTCCAGAAAAGTCAAACAATAATAGTACACTAAAAATAGCTTTATCTTTATATCTTTTTCAGCCTCTATAGAAAAATCAGCTGATATACTAGTAAAATGGGGGAATAACAGAAATCAAAACTGTAACACTTTGTTGTAGGCTTTATGATTTTATTTTTGATATTCTGGTTCAGAGAAGATGATGAGAGAGAAACTATATATTTATATTTTTATCCAGATAGCAAATATTTATTGAGTGTCAACGATTTAAAAGACAAGCACATCCTTGGCCCATAGTAGGCACTCAATAAATGTTACATCCCTTCCTTTTGGGAATATGTAAAATAAATGAAATGCTGCATAGCAGCGCTGATTTCCAGTTTAGCAGTACCCATGTGTTATATTGCCTTGAGAAAGAGTAATGGGTAATGAACTCAAGATCTGTTAAAATAGTACTTTATTTTTAAAAAAAAAAAAAATTCTATATAAGAGTTTATTTTAGCCAAACTGATGACAATTGCCAGGAAGCAAGATCTCTAATGCTTCCTCCAATCATTACTTTCTTAGCTGTGGGTTCAGCAGCTGTGTGAGGAGCTAAGGGTTTTTCTCCATAGCTGAATGCTGAATATTCTTTCTCAAGATTGAATTGGTTTGACTGGCACTTGCTTTACTGAACCTTGTGTTTGGGTCCTCTCCAATGCTTGCCATATACAGCGAGCAGCACCCACAATAATCAGGCCAGTCATATCAATTAGATGAAGGATTTTCTGTATAGATACAGTTGTGTAGACAGAATTAAAAAAAATACTTAGTTTTATCTAATTCCATTGTACTTGTTGTGGAGGGAAGAAAAAATCAAGAAGCAAATTGAAACTATTGCCTTTTTTATTAAAAAAAAAATCATGAACACTGGCATAAAAGAGTTGTACCCAACTACAGCCCTTTGGATCAAGACCAAATTAGTAAAAATATAGGTGAACTCTGTGATGGTTTCTATTGAATGGAGGCTGTCAGAAAGGAACCAATGTGTTTTGGATATTTCTTTCATTTTAATTACAAATTCCTGGAAGAATTAAAAACTCAACCTCTCCATCTGGGTAGGAACTAAAAACACATAAAAGTATTGCCATTGCAGTCACTCTGCACCAACTAACATTGTCCACTTTCACCCACTGATAAAGAATGCTAAATAATTTGTTCCAACTTCTCAAATAAAAGATATTAAAAGGGAAGAGATAGGCTCTCAAAACAAAAGCAATGTGAACAATCATTTTTAAAAAAGATTTTCCATTACATATCACTTTATTGTTGTTATTATTTTTGCATTGCTATTTATTTTACATACAAAGATTCTTCTGGGAGCATGCCCATGCCTTTCCCTTAACCCTTTCCCCTTCTTCTTCCCACTTCCCATTCCCCCCCCCCAAAAAAAAGAAAAAAAACATTCTTCTGGGCCCTCTCTGCCAGCTTGTTTCCACTGAACTCACTGGAAGATATTATTCTAGTTTGTTCTGCTAGGGTAGCATACATTTGAACTGTGTTTAAGGGACCTAGGATTCCCACCTGCTGTGGGGAGAGCCAAGTCAAGTACCCATACTTTTTGTCGATTTGTAGGCATTTTTGCATGGTGCTGATTATGGAATACAATGGAACTTTTCTCATTGGCTGGTTTACATCACCATTATAGGAGGGAAGAGAGGACACTGGACCCTGTCACATATTTTCATTGACATGGTAGGACAGAGAGCCTTCCTGGGAGCTTTGTTCAGACCCTCCCATCATGACCATAGTCATCAAATCAGAGATAGAAAGGCATTGGTGGCAGTTTAGTGCAGACCCATTGTTTTACAGATGAGAAAACTAACTTCATTATCAGGGTTAATACAGAGTTAGGGGCAGAGCCAGGAATAAAATGTCGATGACCTGATCTTGAGCCCAGGCCATTTTCTGTTATTGCACACCGCCTCATTTAAAGCTGAGTATGTATTAACTTATTATGCTGGTTCTTATAGCACAGGAATAAGTAGAAAGGGTGAAACAATAACCAGGTAATGATTAAGCTTAGCTGACCCAGTACGTACTAGCATTTAGTATTTTGAAAACAACAATTTCTGTCTAAATAGGTTGAGGAGTATTAGTTAATGTTTACTTTACCTTTTGCATATGTCTTTTTAAAAGCTGAGTTTCTTTGTGAGTGTACAAATCTGTGATTTTATATGAGATGTTATAGTTATCATATATGATTATGCTCACGTATATTTATATCTCATTTAGGTATATTTTCCACTAACAATAGCCTCATCATTAACATAAGGGTTTACCAGTTTTAAAATTTTCAATAACTATGAGTTCATTTTGTTTAGGTTCAGAAAAATGCCATGATATTGTTATTGAAAGCTAAACTGACTGAATTAATATTCTTGTATAAAATAATTTATTTTTCATTCCTTTAGATATTTGTCCCTGTGTACCCCCAAATGAACTTATTTTTATTATTATTTCCTGGGAAAGAGTAAGGAGATCTGATTGTATGTCTGACATACTGAAATATGGAGCTAGGTAAAATATCTATTTGTCATGCCAATATGATACTCTAAGGTATAAAGAGTACATTTAGTATTTATTTTTAATCTTAAATTTAGGAAAATGATGAAGGAAGAACTTTGGTCCATAGAGTATAAAGATGGCTTTGATGCCTCCTGTCTTTTCGGTATTAAGGGATGTAGGATTATAGCACCTTTTGGCTCATTGGAATCATCTGAACTAAATAATGCACCTTTCTGTTTCAGAAACTCTCTAAAAGTAAGAAAAGAAAAACACCAACCACTCAGTTTTTAAAACACAATGTCAAAAATGTCTGAAGCATGCCCTGTCTGTGGAAGACTTCTGCATATCAAATAGAAATTCTTTAAAAAATGAGAAAGTTCATAGTTTTATTCTCGATACTATACACTTCTCAAAAATTCTACCTTTTAGCACATATGAGCCTAGATAGCAGGGGCCAAGACGAAAGTGATAATAATAAACCAACAAACAGAAATAAATAAGCAAAAATGAAAATATACTGCTAGGTAATAAACAGTTTCCACAATCAATCAAGTTACAGTGAAAGGTAAGTGTGTCAAAGAGTTAGGGAGCAAAGTTCAGTTCCTGATATGCTGATGGTGTTATTAGCTAGAATCTTGAAGAGTTCCATCTTCAGGTTTGGTGGGGTGAAGGTTGGTGCCCAGCATAGTTCCTGGGAGAAAAAGGCATGTAGTAGAGAAAGAATGAATGAGTGAGTGAATGAAATAGTTATATAAGAAGTAAATTAGTACAGAAGTAAAACCAGAGCATAGATCTCCAAAGGTCCAAGGAGTTTCCTGCCAATGAGATGGTAAGTTCTTTGTAGCTGTGCAGAAGTGCTGAGACCTAAGTTTGCAAGTATGGCCCCTGTCAAAATCTACCCACCTGTGAGCCACTCCATTCATTCATGTCAATTTGAAAATAGATTGAGAAACTACCAACTGAAGAGATAACCCTGCTAGTATCCTGATAAAGAATTAAATGGAATTTATATATTTTCAATATAGTAGAATTTAAAGTCACGGGAGGCAGAGAGAGCAAGGAGGGGAGAGGATACTTTTGAAAAAGCAATTTCCCCACTTTTATCTTGCTTTGGTGTTAAGGATACTTTTCAGTTAAGAATTTGGAAATGACTATTCTTGACCAGTGGAGGTTATACACTATATCTGTTTATTTTGGGTGAGTATTTGAAGCATCTGCAGAAATACCTTGTTCCTCTCGTGTTTCTAACACATGGTGAATTGCCTAATGCTCTTGATTCAGCAGTAACAAATCACATCCTTAGCAAATATAAAAGCCTTATTAACTAGTTATTTTTCATCATTCATAGTTACTATAATTTTAAAAATATTAACAAATTTTTACTCAGCATCACATTTCACAGGAGTGTGTGTTTCCTATAATTTAGCATGTGGCTTATGTAAAGATTGAAGAGCTAATAGAACTCTTGTGTATTTTGGCTCTGAGAGCCAATGCCTAAAACTTAAGCACTATATATATATATATATATATATATATATATATAGGCACTATATATATATATATATATATATATATATATATATATATATCCTAGTTAATACCCAATGTTAATTTAATATTCTGAAAGCAATGATTTTCTAAGGTCTTAAAAAAATGAGGCATTATAGCTTTTATCCCAGTATTTGCCTCTACAGTTTGGAAATCTGAGCTAGAATTTAGATTATTTTGTATTATGTATTGCCATATTTGGAAAAAATCACACATTCCAGTCCCGCTTTGCAACAAAAGCTGTACGCAGAAGCAGGGGTGTGCAGGCATGGCGTGTCTCCTCGGTAATTTACCGCTCCATAGTTTGAAGCAATGAATACACTTTCCCAGAGCCCCTTGCTTTCCCTCAGTGCAAAGCCTATACACTGCAGACTACTAACGAAAATCTAAATGTCCAAATACTGTGGCAGAAACACAAACATTGCAGAGTTATTTGAAATATACTTTTCCAGGGAAAATAACTCCCCGGGTAACAATGCATTTAATTTTAAAGATACTCTCTTTTTAAACTTGTAAGGATTTCCACAGAATTGAGTAAGTTTTGGATTTCTTTAAAAATATAGCTTCTTAGGCATATTTTATAGTTTGAGGATTTTTTTTTTAAGTCCACTAATGGTTTATAACTTTTGAATTAAAAAACAGATTTGTTCCTCGGCAGTTTAAATTACATTTTAATTTCACTTCACTCCTTATAGGAACTGTAACTCCAGCTGGATTATTTCTTTGTTTAAAAGTGTAAGACATTATGTTTTTAACTAGAGGTTTTGGAGTTGGAAAGTAAATACAAGGTTATCCTTGAATATTTTCAGTGTGTATGTAGAACTTAATAAGCAAAAAAAATTTTTAATATATAACTGACTTTCAAAGCGTTTCCTGAATAGGTGATTTTGTACGTTAGTGAAATCAGTGTGTGATCAGATTGTTTTTGTTTTAAAAAAAATCTCCGTTCTTCCCTCCACACAGTGAACCTGGCCACGAGCAGGCTAATAGGTGCTGTGGCAGGCACCATTCTGGCCCTGGGGGTGATTTTTGGAGGCACGGGGTGGGGAATAGAGTAAGCATCTTTCTGAGTTTCAGAGTGTTTCCGTGTGGTTCCCGGTGTGTGAGCTGACCCTCGACCCCTGACTCCCCCGTGTCGTCTCGTTAATGTGTTGCCCGTGGTGGTGCTACTTGTGCTGTGACTTGGACGTGTTTGTGTCGTGTGGTTTTCTCGTGTGGTGGAGAACCTTCTCCTGTCTGGAACAATGTGGGGCATGACATAATCCTGGGTGCTGATGTCTTCTCCGTGGAGGATGGTCCAAAAGCTTCCATTGCTCCTCCACTTGAAAAGTAATGCTAAGATACAGACCTTTTTTTTTTTTTTACTATTTATTGGCAAAAATGCTTTCATAGAAGTGTTTTATTAGGACTCTTATGACAATTTGAATCATCACCAGTCAGGTAGATTCACCTATATAATTAGGAATTACCAACAGTTGTAGCTCTTTTTTAAGGGTAATCTGAATGATAGCCACTAATATTTTCTCCGTTGATTGAGAATGCTAAAGGAAGCTTCAGCTTGTTGTTACAAAGAAGATATTTAGCACATTGCCTCTTTTTAAATAAAACAGGTTAATAATTCCAATTTGATGTTTACATAAATATTTTGGAGCGAACAGCATTAAGAATGAAGAGATATTTAATCCAAACTTGCAAAACTTTAAGGGAGCAGTTGCAAATTACCTGGTGGGTTTGTCTTTTGAGGAGCCAGAGTATAAATACGTGGCCTGCATGCACTTGCCATTGAGATCTCGTGGTGCCTCTATTTAGGTTGCTCTGCACGTGATCTATATCCTCAGAATAGCTGTCATTTCTCCATGGGCTACTGCTTTCATGAGATTGCCAGTGTACATGTAGACTAAAAGATTATTGTGATATTGTGATTTCCCCCCTCTAATTTCAGAGAGAGCATTTGCAAATTACAAAAATACTCCGCATGCTGTCTTTTCTGCTCACTGTGGTGATGTTAACACTTCACAGTGGCCCAGGAACAAATTGCTAGGATCTTAAGGAATCGCCAGGTAACCTCCACACAATCAGCCCAAACCATAGGCAAGTTGAGAACATCACTCATTGTCCCTTAGTCCCATTGGTGGCAGCACACAGATGTTCTCCTTTCAGACTGGGTCTGGGAGGCCCAGGGCTGGAAAGAAATAGCATGAAGAGGGAGGTCCATAGGTCACAGGTGGTGTCGATTCCCTAAATCTCACCTGGGTTGAAGGGCTTTGACTAGGCATGGATCTTGTAATTCACATCCCATCAGTATGGACTGCGAAGCTAGTAACCCCGGGGAAGCTAAAAGTACTTGAAAAAATAGTTTGTTTCTCCATCTCTGTTAGAAAATAAAGTATATGTGAAGTAAAATATTTCTAGAAAACGAACTTCTACAAAATTTCACCGTGGGTCTGTTGACTGGATTAGATACAGAAGTAACATTCCTTTCCAGGGGAAATTCCACACACACATGTGAAATTCCTCCTGGGAAGAAAGGTCATTTTTTTAAAAACCATTTCAAATCCATTTTTTTAAAATGTAATTTATTGGCTGTGCTAACTGAAGGGGTGAACTTTAATAATGTTCCCTTTGAGTCTTAGAGCTAGGCAGGACTTGGGAGCTTTGTTGTAAGGCACAGTCCTTGTCCTCCTTCCCTTCCAGTGTTGTTGGTTTGTGGCAATTTCTGGTTGTGACAGGTAAGTCTGTATACATGTATATACATTTTTTCTAAAAATAGATGTTATTCTTGGTGTATACGCTGTTGTTGTCTATTAGCTTACTGATTTTTCCCTTTAAATTCTAAATTTTGCCAGAGTTGCTAAAATAGTAAATACAGTTAAATTTAGTAAATAGTAAATACTAGTTAAAAAATAAATTAAAATCCACATAGTACCTGTAGTTTTAATGCCTCCTAGTTTGACTGGCAGTGTCCTGTCATTTTGTCACTAAGAATTCCAAGGACAGAGGCCTTGTTTTGTTTTGCTTTTGTTTCTACTCCTTAGTTTATCATTGTAGACCAGGAATTAATTCTCAGGGGTTATGTATTGATTCTAATTCCAGCCTGTTTTCTGAGCCAGTAAGGTGCAAATCGTGTCTAAAGCGTACATTCTGTACATGGTAATATAAATATTTTTAAGTGTTTTAAAATTTGAGTCCCTATTAAGCTTTGCGGAGGAAACACGTATACATGGAATAATGTTGCTTTAGTGGAGGGGTTAGCAAACTCTGTAACAGGGCAGATGGTAAATAGTTTTGGCTTTGCGGGCAACAGGTTGTCTGTCACAACCTTGCGACTCTGCTGTCTTAGCCTAAAAGCAGCTGTAAACCCGCATGGGGATGAACTGGCTGTGTCCCAATAAAGCTTCTTTGAAAAAACAGTCAGCAGGGGCCAGATTTGGCTTGTGGGATGTAGTTTGCTGCCCCTTGGTGTATCCCATAAGCTTTAGAGCAGCCGTGGGCAAACTACGGCCCGTGGTTTATTCATTTTGAAATGAATAAAACTAAAAAAAAAAAAAGACCGTCCCCTTTTATGTAATGGTGTTTACTTTGAATTTATATTAGTTCACACAAACACTCCATCCATGCTTTTGTTCCGGCCCTCCGGTCCAGTTTAAGAACCCATTGTGGCCCTCGAGTCAAAAAGTTTGCCCACCCCTGCTTTAGAGCCAAACACATCTGGGTTCAAATCTTGCCTCCATCATGTGTTGACTTCTAGAAGCCTCTATTTCTCCATCTGTTAATCAGGGGTAGTCATAGTCCCTACCTCTTAGGGTTTGGTGAGGATCAGATGAGATGATAATGCCAAGTGCTTAAAAGTGCACCCCCATCGTCAGGACAGTGAATAGTAGTTAACAAGCTTTTGCAGCTCTCATTATTATTTATTATTATGGCCATATCCCTAAAGGCCACTGAGATTTGTGTTCTGTAGAACCTCAATGGTTAGTCTTAAGGGTGTGTCCAAACCCGGGATTCCCGAGAGACCTCATCCCTGAGATGCCCATTGTAACCCCCACCTACCTTTCCTCGCACCTACAAACACAGGGTGGTCTCTGAGTAAAAACATCACGCGGCACACAATTTCAGTGCTGCTGAAAGCGGCATCCATTTATGTACACAGTCGAGGGCACTGATGTGAGCAGAAAAGAGAATCTTTTACACAGCAATGAAGGCACACACAAACCCAAGGGTTTCAGGGGAGCTAGCAAAATGGGCCCTGTGACCTTGGGAACAGGGGCATAAAATTAGGACAGGAAGTATTTTGCTGTTAGGGTGCGCTGTACCTGCATATTAGCATCCTGTACGATGTGATACTTAAAGTAATTCTCATACTGAAGTGAAGGTTGCTTACATTTAAAAAGAGTGTATTACCAACTCTCCCTCAAACAGGGGAAACAACATTTTTTTTTCCATTTCCCCAAAGTTACCCAAATGAGTTTTATACTTTTTTTATATCTTGCCTTTGGAAGCCCGTGCTGCCATTTAAACCCTGCCTGGATCTGTGCAGTTAAGAAATATGTCTTTGAGAACAAGGCTTCCAAGTCAGATCTTTATTGGTAACCTCCTTCTGACTTCTGAATTTTAACTGTCTCCCAGTGGGGCATAAAACATGTAGCATTCAGACAACTTTATGTGCTGCTTGAAAGAACACTTCAGTAGGATGTTTCCTGCTTTTCATGCCCTCGTTTGCCAGCAGATTGAGCTAATTCTAATGCAGTCGCGTTCTTTATGCACTCTTACTTGTTTGATTCATGGTATTGGGAAAGGGGAGGAGAAGAAAGACGTGTAATGACAGCAATTGGCGCCTATTTGCTTCAAATTCTGCGGAAGGTGGATTTAATGGAACTTAATTGTCAGTGGTGCAGAAGCTGCAGATGTAAAGGCATTCAAACCCCAGCAGTCGTTATCCACAGCGTGGAAAGTGAAATTAAGCTAAGTCAAAAAGGTGATTTATGTGTTTCGCAATCTTTCATGCAGGGTTGTGACTTCCTGAAACCGCCCAACTGCCTTTCCCTGGTGGTAACGAAAGTGGTTGGCTCATATGACTTTCTTCCCATGATCCTTTGTCACAGGTCCTAGTGCCACCAATCTCATAATAGGCTCCATCGCTGGTGCCATCCTGGTAGCAGCTATTGTCCTTGGGGGCACAGGATGGGGATTTAAGTAAGCAACGCCGCATGCCTTCTTCTCAGTGGCTCTGGCACTTCTCTTTTCTGCTTACATAACCAAGTTTTGAGTTCCTGCTACAAGTTTTAACAGTAAGACTGAGAAAAATACCTCATTTACAAACGGGTCAGAAAAGAAGAAACATGGAAACACCAATGTCATCTTCAGGCAAGTGGGGAAACATGGAATGTGAAAGGAACTCCCATGCACTGGGTTGAAGAGAAAAAGTGGGAGTTCTTTAACAGAAGACAGTCAGCTTTTAGGTGCAACAGTCTGAGAGACATTTATTAATACACAGGTTTGTGAGGAAACTGTGCAGTTGGAAATGGTGGACATAAACTCCTTGTATCTGTTTAAAACTAGTTTACAGTCCATTGACATTTTGAAAATTTCACACCCCAAGTAACCATTTGTTCATCATTTTTCACATGTCGTACTGTATGTAGCTTTATGATTTTAAAAGCTTCATTATTTTATATAAACAGATTTTCAAAAGTATTTTCATTAATTCCCTAACCAGCTGAATTGGTTTCACATTGGAATTTAAAGTCTGTAGTTTTGTGATAATATTTTCTAATTAATTGCAAATGTTGGTGTGACTGGTAGGCCTGGTGTGTCTTCATAGTACCCTTTTAGTTTGGATTGTACATTGATCACCGAACTAAGTTCATTTAAATAGATGTGCCAGATAATCACAAATCATCCAAAATTTCAAACCTAATTTACTCAGTTCGGATATTTCTATACCTCAGATTCATTGGGTAATTGCTTTCTATTGCTTTTCGTGCTGTGATGCCTCACGATTTGTAAATAAGACCTCTTATGCGAAGTATTCCTTGTGATAAATTACATTGCAAC